CAGGGTGTAATGGCCACATTCAAGGCTTATTATCTATGGACGATGTTCTCCATGCTGATTAAGGAGATGGCAGGTGAAGGAAAGCCCAGTGTAAAGGAGTTTTGGAAGTCCTACAACATCTTGAACAGCATGGAAAACATTGACGCGTCGTGGGAAGAGGTCACTTTGCAATATATGAACAGCGTTTGGCGCTGTGCATGCCCAGATGCCATCCACAGCTTTGTGAGATTTGATGCCGTTCCTGCTCTTGAGCAAGAAATTGTCAAGTTGACAAAGGATGTCAGCTTCAAGGAGGTGGAGGAGGATGATGTACAGGAGTTGTTGGAGTCTCACGCTGAGCAACTGACAAATGAGGAATGGATTGAGCTGGACCAACCACGGATATCTGAAGAAAGCAAAGATGATGATGACGATGATAATGACGTAGGGCAAGAAACCAGGAGTCTGACAACAAAGAATCTCTCCTGTTTCTTTGGATTGCTGGATGAGATGACGGAAATCATACAGAACGGTGATCCTTTTCATGAATGGTCTGCCAACGTCCCCAGGGCTCTCAATGATACATTGGCTTGCTACAGGGATATCTATCGTTCAAAGATTCATGCAGGAGAACAGACATTGATAAAATCCTTTTTAAAAATTTCTGCAACCAAAAAGTCAGCCACAGAAAAGCCAGCTCAAGAAAACCCAGCTACCACCCATACCTAAGTTTAACGTAATTGGCACTGTTTTATACTATATTACTGTACTGTATTTACTGTATTAAAATGTTCTATGTGTTTGAATGGTAGGGTTCTACATTATTTTATTAAATGTTTTATGTGTAAAATGTACTATTTAACCTGTCATTGCAAAAAGGTACACTGTTTAGGCAAAAAAAGCATTGTCATAGGTGAGTGTAGTGAAGTTGTGAACGGATCCCCCCGTTATTCCATTATTTCTTATGGGGAACAAGTCCCCTGTATACGTTGTGTATACCTTTTCAAGAACGCAACCCCAATATATACAGGCGACCCTCTGTACCTCAGCAGCAGCCAAGCAGGCTTCTGTATCTGCTCCCTAAGGAGAAACTTTACCTCAGTGGAAGCAGGCAGCCCCTTGAACAACAGCAGATTGCCATCAGCGCTACCTGAACATTGCTCCCAAAGGATAGACCGGGGTCTCAAACTCCCGGCCCGCGGGCCATCAGCAGCCCATGAACCTCCCCAATGTGGCCTGTGGGGCTCCAGCAGTTTTAGGGCCGGGTCTCTCCCTTGGCCCCACGTGCTGCCCCCGGGCACTCCCCCCCCCCCTCCAATGGGAAGCTGCAGGGATGGTGTCTGGGAGCAGCAGAACGCGGAGGCCCCCCGCCCCACCTTGGAGCCCCAGGTAAGCGCCGCACCCCCCGACCCCCTCCCAGAGCCTGCACCCCCACCCCTTCCCACATACCCCTCCCGCCCCCAAACTCCCTCCCAGAGCTTCCCCCTTCCCACACCCCCCCGACCCCCAAACTCCCTCCCAGGGCCTGCAACCCCACCCCCTCCTCCTGCACTCCCACCCCCTACCCCAGCCCAGAGCCTGCCCCCCCACCCTTTCCCACACCCCTCCTCCTGCCCCCAAACTCCCTCCCACAGCCTGCACCGTCCCCTTCCCATACACACCATCCCGCCCCCAAACTCCCTCCCAGAGCCTGCACCCCCATCCCCTGCCTCAGGCCAGAGCCTGCACCCAGCACCCAAACTCCATCCTAGAGCCTGCACCCCAGACCCACTCCCCCACCCAAACTCCCTCCCAGAGCCCAACCTCTCACCCCTTCTGCACCCAAACTCCCTCCCAGAGCCCGCACACCAATCCCCTACCCCAGACCTCCTCCCCCACCCAAACGCCTTCCCAGAACCTTAGGCAGGTGGGGGGTGGAGTTTTTTGGGGGTGGAGTTTTTTGGGGGGTGGGTTCTGGGTGGCATGAGTGATATTATTGGCCCGCTGGGAGGATTTGAGGACTGGCACTGGCCCTAAGCTAAATTGAGTTTGAGACCCCTGGCATAGACAGAGCAGAAGGACCTCTAACATGATTCAGAGGGATTGTTAAGAAAGCCCTTATAAGTCCAGTCTTTCTTTTATTTTACCATCCTAGAATGTATGGGCCTCAAGTGTAAATAAAGCTGGATGTTTGTGGTGAGATCTGCTCCTACCCATTTAGTAACCGCCAGGCCAGTGCTTACAAGATGCTTAGTTTAAGTATTTAATATTGAATGTTTAATTAACATGCTTGATTGTTATATTGTTATAAGGTATAGAGTAGTAAGTGAATGATTCTACTGTTATATAGTTATATGCCATAGAGTTAATTGAAATTGTTATTATAGTGTTGCCTTTTTTATTTGCCATGCTGTTTCATTCCCTTTTTAACCGTAACCCTATTATATCTATTTCTATTCTTTCACTGAAACCACTCACTTCTAAATAAATATTACTTTTGTTTTCAAAGATTTACTGCTTAACTGTCTATTCTTGATTAGAAGGCTGTATTTATGTCCTTTCAAGGGAAGTTAGCTTGCCACTGCTTTCCCTGGAAATTCCTTAATTACTGGAATAGATAAATTAAGAATAAAGGTTTTAAATTAAAAGTAGTGTTTTTAGGAAAACTCATTGGTTCAATATAATTGGTCTCAAATCTTCTGGTAACACTTTGATAGGAACATTCCAAGGAAAATCTTGAAAGTGAACCTTGTGAAGCTTACTCACCCACAGATTTTTAATGAAGGGGGGTATAATATAATCCTATATTATTATCAAGACTTAAAAAGTCTATCAGAAACTGATAGGCAGGGACAGTATAGAAAATATGGAGAAAGCTAGCAGGTGCCAAGGGCAGTGAGCAAGTAAGATGCCCAGCATCCTTCTCCAGCTGCTAAGAAAGGTGAGAGTCGGTGAGTTAGGTGCCTGTACCTTCCCTATTAAGCTGACTGGTAGTTGTCACAACTTTGAAACTATATTCCCTTTACCATCATTTTTGGGGTCTTCCTTCTAGTCTCTTCCTCTCCCTCCTGCCCAGTTTGTTTCATCCTCCTAACTTCTGCAGGAGCTCATCTAGTTTCTTAAATGACTGCAGATTGAAAGCCAGAAACTGACAAGACTTCAGTTAGTTTTACCATGTTTCCCAAGCCTGTTAGGAACAGGCACTGTGAATGGCCAAAATATTGTCAATTTCCTTTCACTGCTGACAGCTGTCATCCATGGACCTGAGGAAGTTTCTTAAACCCTACTTGATAGGACAAGTGGATGTTTCAATCTGATACATTATTTTTTATCACCTCACAACAGATAATTAGTAAGTAAATATTGCTCACTTGGACCACAACTTGCAAGTGAGTCCATGCAGGTGAATCCCTGCATACGTGCAGAGCCCTGTTGACTCAAAGCTTGCCCAGTCATTTGCAGGATCAAGGTCTTAAAAAGAATACCAGTAACACTGATAATTTGATAATCAATAAAATGATTACATTTTGAATAAAATATACAAGTTTTAAAAATATAATTATATTAATGTAGCATGAAATTTAATAAATAATTATCAACTTTATCTCTTTCTCCTTAATGTACATGTATTGTATCATATTACTGTATTGTTTATTGCAACCATCTGCTGAAAAATGATATGGAAATTAAAGTTTATGGTGCAGTCCTGCTTCCACTCTTGCTTGGTGCTCACTTACTTGAAGGAAAGAAAATCTCAGTAGGTATCAATTGTAATGCACTTGTTATATTTCCCTCTTCTCGTGGAAAATTCTGTTGTCCTATGACACTATAAATCCTTGTACGTGCAGGTAGCCCCATTGTACCTGAATCTGCTCTCCTACTGGTGTAAATCTGTACTAATAGCACTAAAATCAAACAAATCACACCAATGTAAAAGCAAAGTAAGGGACAGGATAATCAGGTCCACTATCTTCTCATCTGAGTGAGGGTGGGCAGGCCTGAGTCTTTACTCCTTAATGTTGGAGATTCCGAGAACAGATTTTTCTGAAATTGTTTTAGGTAGTGTCTGGTTGTTCTTCCATAAACTCTGGCCTTCCCTGGAAAGTTCTCCAAATTACTGACCCATGGGCAAAAGTAACCCATGACTTCTGCTCTCTTGCCATTACTTTATGATAAAGAGTGGGTGTATGCAGGGCCACCGAGAGCGGGTTCGGGCCCCGGTGAAGGGCGGACCGGCTAAACAGGGCCGATGAGAGGGGGGGAAGCCGGGCCCGGAATTTTTTGGGGCCCCCCAGCAAGGGCAGACTGGCTAAACAGGGCTGACCAAGCGGGGGGGTGGGGGGGAAGCCGGGCCCCGGGCCCCCTTCCGGACTGCCGGGCCCCAGTAATTTGTACCGGCTTCCCCGCCCCCTCTTGTCGGCCTGGGTGTATGGGGCAGAAAAATTCCCTAAGTGTTTAGAGGGCAGACAGGCAAAAGAGCAGATGGACACTGTACAGAGACAGACTTCCTCTGCTTTGCACAATGATCTAGAACAGATATCAGGAGCTTCCCAGAGAAAACTGACAGCATGAGAGTGTGGCTGAAAGCAGGAGATGTGTGCAGCGTTGTTGTAGCCCTGTTGGTCCCAGGATATGAAAGAGACAAAGTGGGAGAGAGATAATATGCTGTATTGCACCAACTTCTGCTGGAAGGGACAAGCTTCACAGAGCTCTTTCTCACGTTTGGAGAAGGCAACCAGATGTGATAAGTGGGATGGGGAGAGGGAGAAAGTGGGGTGGGTTAGGGTATGTGTCACTCAGCGGTGTCTTCCCTCCCTCCCCTTGCACAATGATCCCACCAAGCTCGGAGCCGCCTCAGAGCGCTCCAGCAAATAAGCAGCTGCCCCCGCTTTCCTACCGCCCGCGCCGCAGCTGGGCCAGTCCCTCCCGAGTCCCTGCTCTTCCCACCCGCCTCCCAGCCGGCCCCTGTCTCAGTCGCCCCGCCCCGCCCGGCCTCTCGCGATGTTGCTAGGGGGGCCGCGAGACTGTGCAGCAGGCGCGTGGCGAGTTGCTAAGGGCCGGAGCTTCCGCGAGCGGTTGGGGGGAAGCGACGCTGGAGTCCCCGCCGTTGCCACAAGGTGACTCCCGCCCCCCTGGAGCGCGGCGCTGCGGGGGAACCACCGGTCCCATGTCCGCTTCTTTGCACTGGAGACCTCCCGGGGCCTGGCTCCCACCCCGCCTCCCGGGCTGGCACCTGCCCCTCCGCGGGCCTGGCCCAGTGACTCCCTCCCAGCCCCTGCCCGGGCTGGGATCCTGGCGGGGAAGGGGGTGTCTGGGAGCGGAGACCGGCAGCCGCTCCCCGCCCGGCCCGCGAACCAACCGGGCGATCCTGCTCGGGGCGGGGCGAGCGGGGTCAGCCTGGATCCGGGGAGAGGGCCCCGGGCCCCGCTGCCGGGCCCCGCCCCTGGGGGCTGTCCGTGGGTCACGCGTAACTTGGTGATTTTCAGCCCCCCCGTAACGCCGAAACAAATGCGCCGAGTCAAGGCCCCAGCCGCCCCCCGTCACCTGATGTGCGGGCAGCCCCCGTCGAAGCGGCTCCGGGACGCTGCGGAGCCTTAGCCAGGCCGGGGGAGCCGCGTTCCCAGCCCCACGAATCAAAGGTGTTTCCTCCGCCCTTGGCAGCGGTGAGGGGCCGCGAGCCGGCAGGGTAAACTCGCCCCGTCTCCGGGCGTCTTGGGCACTGCACATTAACGGGGTAGAAGCGTCCGCGTCAGGGGCAGCCAGCAGTTCAATTGCGCGTTTTTTTTTTGTTTTTTTTTTGTTTTGTTTTTTTTAAAAAAGCGGCTGAGTTGCTTCAAATCTGTAGGTTTGACAGTCACCTTCTTTAGGCGGGGGGTGACACGGGCCCATATTCTGATTTCAGCAATTGATGTGGATGAAGGTAATTGACATCATTTATGATGTCAGGTGCACAGAGTACTGTTATTTGTAACCATTGTAAATTAAAAATCAGGCTGTTCTCTCAAAATTTTGAAAGGTACCTTGCCAAAATGAATAATGGGTATGTGCCCATTTATGCTTCTTTATAATATATAAGAAAGACCTGAAAAACTGCCCCACCCCTCAAAAAACTCCCTCCCCACCCATTACCTCCACTTGTTTCCATTAGAAATTCAGGTCCTTTCTAGTCTGGACTCCTAGCAAAATGATTATATTATAGGCGTCAAGAGTAAATGTTGAGCAATTGAATGGAGTAGGAATTTTTAGTCAGACTATTTTAAAATGCTGTTAATTTATTATTGAAGCTAAATTAATTTTAACATTTTGGATTTAAGGTGGCTTTTGGTAAAATTCATTATCCCTACTCCTTCGTTTAGAATGTTAAACTTTAGTCCTGTGAGCTTTTTCTCATGGACGGACCCTTATTATTATGGAGCTGTGAACAGGGATCTGACTACATGGATCATTTTACAGGACAGGTCATAGACATCGTAACTGAGAGGTCCTATATTAAAACCAGGGAAAACTAGACTTGACATTTCAGTTAACCTTCAGTTAAAAGGTAGATCTAAATCTTTCAGGGGATCAAAAAAAAAAAAGTGTCAGTTAAAAAAAACACCTTTATGTTGTCCCTTTCAGCTGATGGTATTTTAAACCAAATGTTTATTCAGAGCAAACTAGAAACAGTATTCATGATGTCTTTACAAACACTTTGCAATGATCTCTTTCTTCCTTTATTTTAATTTTTAGATGTGCCTGTTAACCAATACTCTAAATTTTTACACAATTTAAAAACACCAAGTTGTTCGTGTGTGTGTGTGTTGTGTATATATAAAAACATTAAAATGTTAAACGACTCTTACTAAGGGGCTGAAGATTACATGTGGAAATATCAAATTCACAAACTGATAATAGAGACACTTGTGAGGGTGTGTCATTTACCTCCTTGGAATGCATTGAGTTTGATTAATTTTTTGGAAAGACTGAGGTTTTTAAAAATAGGGAATGGACACCATGGAGTTGTAAGAATACGACAGGGAATACAGCCTGTCTATTTTAAAGCTATTTCTGACATGCTTTTTTGGTGGCAAGAAACCTGAGCTAATTTTGAATTGTGTTTGATCAAAATAAAATGTTGTTGTACAAGTTTACTAGTTTGGCAAAGGAAAATGTTAAACGAATTAAAATAATGCCTGAAAATAGTATTTTAGTAGAGTTGCAAGCCCTGGATTGTATTAAATATGACTCTAATCAATGATGTTTTGCCACAATTTGATTTCAGGTTTGAAATATAAAAATCTCCACTATCATTAGATAAATGCTTCAAATTGTGAACGTTATTGACTGTTGTTGAAATATTGTTCAGGTTTTAAATATTAGAAATCTTTTGCGGAAAGTGGGTCCTTAAATTGTTCTGGGTTGGTTAATAGTGGTTGTTAGTGGCAGTTATTCATTGTACAGATATTAACTTTGCATATCTCATTTATATACAGGCATTTACAGGTTTTTAGATTGGTACTTTTTATAATTTGAAAAAAAGTAATCGTCTCAAAATCATCCTTCCTTGATACAGATTATGAAAAATCCAATCACCGCTGTGGAGTAGGAAACTTTCCTTGGAAAACGAGATGCTTACGCCATTATTCTAGGCAGAAATAAAGCTTTCTTTCTTTGAAAGAGTAAACCCTCACAACATGAGCTGACACAAGGATATCTTGCTGACCTAGCATACAGACAGCTCTAATGCCTTACTTTTGCTGCTCATAGTTTTCTTAGGCCTCTGTAGAGTGAAATTTACAAGTCTCTGGTCAGGCCACTGTGATATTGACAGCCATGTGGACAGTTAAAAAATGATGTCGATTTCACTTTGCTCTTGATGTTGGGAAAACTATGAGCACCAGCCAAATCAGGCCCTGGAGCTATTCTTGGGGAGGAGAATCCAAAAATCAGAGGTTGTGGGAGGATGTTGAATAGGAGAGATCCTTTGGACTATAGGAGGCTCTATGGTGGACTGAGAAAAGAAAGTCATTTCTCCCTTCTAACATGCAAACTGGTCCGTGCTGTAAATTTATCAAGCACATATTAGTCAGAGGCTGGTATGAAAGAAGGTGCTTATAAGAGGGGTTCCAGTCCCAGGGAATCTTCCTAATAAGACTCCCAATGCCCTTTCATTTTTCAGCCATGCTTATGTATGTGAAGGGTTGGGAGATGGCTTCTGGGTTTCTCATCAAGGTATTATCTTTAGATCTTATTGGTGAGGAGGCCCCTATATTTTTATATCTGCTGCTATCTAACAGGCTTAGTCCTTTGAGTAGTAAGTGTTCAAGGGGTTGTTTGCATACAAACTGGAAACAAAATAAATAGGTTGTAGTTCTCTCACCTTTAGTTATTTCAGTGTAAGGCTGAGTGTGGGCATCTTTATTTCAGATTAAGAGTGTCCTATTTCAATTTAAATTAAGTAGATAAGAAATTGATTTGCCATTTTGAAGTAGGGCATGCATAAATGGAAATAAACTTCTTAAATCCTTTCTCTGTATGAATGCAATTATATGTGTATTACAATTTTTGGCAAAGTGAGGGTATATCTTCATATTATTGGTGACCAGAGGAAAAAAGTGATATTTGTATGAGAGATTAGTACTCTTATTTTAGGATATTGAGAAAACAGACATAGGAAATTTACAGTTACAGTACTTTCATATGTTTCAGACAGATGTCTCATTTCTCTTGTGAAGATGAAGCTCTGTTACAATCTATGCTCAGACAATTACTGCAGAATGTGAAGGAAAAAATCACAGGAGCACCATCAGTGGAATGTGCCGAAGAGATTCTTTTACATTTGGAAGAAACGGATGAAAATTTTCACAAGTAAAAATATTTTTGTTATTTTAATTTTATGGAGTCATCTAAGTGCTGTCAACTGTTCTGTGAAGGGAAAATGTTTACTACCTATATTGACATATATATTAAGAAAATACTTTTAACTTCCCTATTACTGATGAGCTCTGGAAGAATGTTACTTCAGAGATTTAATAAACTATATTTTAATAGTTCTTATTTTTTTTCTTCTGTTGGTATTTTCTTTCTTCTTTGGCTGAAATATTACACTGCTCTACAGCCAAAATGCTTCTGAAATAAATGTAGTCAAACTTTACTAATTCTGGGTCACTGAGAACGAAAATGATGCTTAAAATTGTTGATTGGCTCTAGTTTTCAAGATAGACTATTGGGTCAGTATACACGACCCTTGACTTGGGAATGGCAGAGGATAAGTGAGTTATAAAGGGAAGGGATCTCAATTTAAACCAGAAATGACTAAAATACATCTTTGACTGGATCTATGAATAAATCTATGACTGGGTTTGGACAGTACTTGCTTTTTAGGCAAAACAATGAATGATGCAATCTGAAGCTGGTATTGCGTCATACATGATATGAATTGCATCATGTTATTCTTAGAAGTCATGGATGATGCAATCATAACGAAGCTTACATCACTCTGCTGAACAAATTGCCCTATATCAGCTCTAGAAATCATACAGTGTCATGCTCTCTTATTTGTCAGTGTTTGATTTTGCAAAAGGACACATTTCTGTTTAGCCAAAGTGAGCAGAGATGCCTCGTAATTGTGTGAACAACGCAGATAACTTCTGCTATGTTTGTGGTGAAGTGACTTTTGCATCACAAAAGCGCAGTATAACCACCATGGTTAAGAAAGCCTATCACCTTTATTTTGGCTGCAAAATTGGAGATCAGGACAAGAGGTGGGCCCCACACATATGCTGCAACACTTGTCCAACAAATCTTCGCCAGTGGTTGAACAGGAAAAGGAAATCTATGCCTTTTGCAGTGCCAATGATTTGGAGAGAGCCAACAGATCATACCAGCAATTGTTACTTCTGCATGGTGCCTCCAGTTGGGAAAGGTGTGTCAAAGAAGAAAAAGTGGACTGTGCATTATCCAAACATTCCATCAGCTATACACCCAGTACCCCACGGAGAAGGACTGCCGGTTCCTGATGCACCAGAATCATTCTCACTTGAGTCAGACGAGGAAGAGGATGAAACTTCTGGTCCTGAACCATCAATGTCACAGGACCCACATTTTCTCTCATCCTCCTCCTCTGAACCACACCTCATAACACAAGGTGAACTGAATGACCTTGTCAGGGATTTGGAACTACCCAAGAGTAAGGCAGAGCTGTTGGGCTCCAGACAACAGCAGTGGAATCTTCTGGCAGGTGATGTTACGGTTTCCATGTTCCGTGACCGTCAAAAGGATCTTGTCCCATTCTTCTTCATGGAAGGTGATCTTGTAGCCTGCAACAACATCGATGGTGTGATGGCAGCCCTCAACATCGTTCACGATCCAGATGAGTGGAGACTGTTCATTGATTCATCGAAGACGAGTCTTAAAGCTGTTTTACTGCATAATGGCAATGTTTTGCCATCAATTCCAGTTGGTCATGCAGTCCATATGAAGGAAACCTATGACAACATGAAACAACTTTTGAGGTGCATAAACTATGAGCAACATCAGTGGCAGCTTTGTGGTTTTTGATTTGAAGGTTGTTGCTCTCTTGCTTGGTCTGCAGACTGGATACACAAAGTACTGCTGTTTTCTCTGCGAATGGGATAGTCGTGCAAGAGATTCCCACTACATCAAGAAAGATTGGCCACTCCGACAGTCATTGGAGCCTGGGAGGAAAAGTGTTCAGCATCCACCACTTGTTGAATCAAGGAAGATTTTGTTACCACCCTTACACATCAAGCTGGGTCTGATGAAGAACTTTGTCAAGGCCATTGACAAAACACAAGCAGCTTTCAAGTACCTCCGTGGAAAATGTCCAAGGTTAAGTGAAGCTAAGATAAAGGAAGGTGTCTTTGTTGGTCCTCAGATTCGTGAACTTCTTCGAGATGATGCATTTGACCATGCACTGCGTGGCAAGGAAAAGACGGCATGGAAAGCCTTCCAGTTAGTGGCAATAAATTGAATAGGACTAAACTATGTACATAATAGTTTTTTGCCTTTTGTTTCATAATAAATTTATTTATATAACCCTTTTGCTGATTTTTAAAGTGTTACTATTTCACCTGTCCTGTTTATGTATCATGTAAAGCAACCATAAACACATGAAAAGACCTAGGTTTACAATTTATGATCAAAACTCTACTATCTACACAATATACATAGACATAAAATGTAAAAATGTAAATATCTTAGAAACAGTAGCCAATCAGTTGTTTTAATTGTCATATTTGAATTCAGCACATCAAAATACATAATAAATAGCACATTTTATCTCTGAAGCAGACAACTTCTCAAAAATTGTAGACCAGTGTTATCAATAGAGTTGTCATAGGTTTCAGCCCCACTCTGAACTTTAGGGTACAGATGTGGGGACCTGCATGAGAACCCCTAAGCTTAATTACCAGCTTAGATCAGTATGCTGCCACCACCCAAATATTTGAGTAATTTGGGAAACTGTCTTGTCCCCCAAAGTCTTTCCCTCCCAATTACTATACCCCTTCCCTGGGTAGCCTTGAGAGACTCCTCCACCAGTTCCCTGGTGAACACCGATCCAAGCCCTTGGGTCTTAAAACAAGGAGAAATTAACCATCCCCCCTCCTTTCCCCCACCAATTCCTGGTGAGTCCAGATCCAACCCCCTTGGATCTTAAAACAAGGAAAAATTAATCAGGTTCTTAAAAAGAAGGCTTTTAATTAAGGAAAAGAAAGGTAAAAGAAAAACCTCTGGGAGATAGCATACAAGCTGATCTCACAGACAACAGATTCAAAACACAGAGGGTGTTCCCCTGGGCAAAACCCTTAGTTACACAAAAGAATACCCAATTTGATTATTCCCCTAATGCACAAGACAAGTTACAAAAGAAAATAAACATAAACCTATTTATTCCTTTTCTAATACTCACTTCTCTGATACGAGGCTGATTCCTTGATCTTTTCCATTCTGGCCGAAACTGAACTAAGACAAAGGGAACTTCCCTCCTTCCTTTTGAAACATCTTGTTCCCCCATTGGTTCCTCTGGTCAGGTGTCAGCTAGGCTAGGTGAACTTCTTAACCCTTTACAGGTAAAAGAGGCATTAAGCCTTAACTGTCTCTTTATGACAAGAGTAAATGATTCTTCAGGGAAAATCCATTGTCTCTAAATTTATTTAATTAACTCTGATAAATGTGCTACATTCAGAGACAAACGAGCTAGGAAAAAAATCCTAATTGAAGGTTGCCAGATGATTTTTGTAATTGCTGTTGGGGTCCTTATTATTGTTCCTCATGTAAGTGAAATACAAGCAAGATGGCTAAAATATGATCTTTTACAGGCACCTTTCACAGTTAGTCCTTAGCCAACTCTCTTTTTATATATTTGATAAGATAAATTCTAGTTTCTAACAGAAATCCTATTACATTTGGAATAAAACTGAAAATCTTCTCTATTACCTCTAACGACTTTTGGATGTCCAGCTGGTGCTAATGCACACTCACATATTTACCTACGTACTGTGCTCAAATTCTCCTGAGGCCACAGTCATCTTTGCACTTCACCTCCATTACACAAACACAATATTGTAGTGGTTTTGTGCTCAGGCTTCTAGCCAATACAATGCATTTTGCTACATGGCAGATTTTATGACACAGTTGTGAGGTCTGAGAGAAGCCATTTAACTTAGATGAACTGAAAAGATGTTTAAGCTTTCGTGGGTGAATACCCACTTCGCCAGATGATGACTACATGCATCTGACGAAGTGGGTATTCACCCACGAAAGCTTATGCTCCAATACATCTGTTAGTCTATAAGGTGACACGGGACTCTTTGTCGCTTTTTACAGATCCAGACTAACACGGCTACCCCCTGATACTGAAAGATGTTTAATTGTTAAAACCTGGGTTCTGTGACCTTCGTTTCTTCTGCAAAAGCCAGTGACCTCAAAAATATCTTTAAATAATGCAAGGCAGTGCATTAACTGCATTCCTTATACTTTAACTAGGTGTCAGTGATGTGTTGTCAGTAGCAAGCTACCCGACATCTCTAAACTTGGGTGATAGCAAGTAAGTAAAGTAAAAAACAGAAATGACTCTAAGCTATTTTTAAAACTAAATTCAGAATTTTAATGCCTTCACATGTTTTCTCTTAATGATTTTAGATTTAGGGTTGTGCATTTGAGCAGTCCAAAAATAAATGGTCAGTGGACCAGTCAAATGTTCGTCAAAATATTTTAAAGTACTGATTAATTAGAACAGTAAAAAATACACAAAATAAGATTTTATGGCCTCCAACAGGCTTAGTCTTAGATGCTTATGCCTAATTAAAAAAAAAACCAAATTACTTAACTATGTTATTTTAACTTAGAAAAATGTGAAAAACAATCAAATGAAGTTTTAAAAATGAAAGAAGGGCACCAGGATGCAATCAAAAAAGATAGGCCATTGCCTACATTGAGGAATTCTTGCTGGAATATTTGACAATATTTGACTATGATCAAATAATAGGCAGTTATCTGACACTATTTAACTTGTCAATTGACTGTCTTTCCAAGCCTATTTATGTCTTAAATGGTTTTATTTTTAAAATTTATTTTTCACCTGTAACTTGTATTATGCAATTATTAATGACATTTTAATGCTAATATCGGTGCAGCCACTCAATTTGAGCTCTAGATCAGGGGTTCTCAACCTTTTTCTTTCTGAGGCCCTCCCAGCATCCTATAAAAATTCCACAGCCCACCTGTGCCTCAACTGTTGTTCTGTATATAAAATCCAGAGCCAGCATTAGGGTGTATCAAACAGGGCAATTGTTTGTGGCCACGGGCTGCAGGAGGCCCCATGAAGCTAAGTTGCTTGCACTTGGGGTTGGGCTTCAGCCCTGCTGCGGCTCCGGCTTCAGCTTTTTGCTCTGGGCCCCAGTGAGTCTAATGCTGACCCTGCTTGATGGACTTCCTGAAACTTGTTAGAGCCCCAGACTCCCAACTGAGAACTGCTGCTCTAGATCAGTGGATACTGAACACGAGAAGAAAAGTGGTTACACAGATATCAGTATTAAAATTACATTTTAATTTCTGGACAATAACACATTTTAATTAGAATAAGGTGACTTGCACATTATAAAATGTGAAATTAAGTTTTCTGATGTTTCTGAAGAAGCATTTGTAGCTTCTGGCAACACACTCCCCTCCACAAATGGTGTAAAAGTACACAGAAAATTCTACAAGGTTCATCTTTTGGAGCTCATAGTGCTCAAAGAAAATGAGTTGAGAGATTGAAAGAGAGGAAAGGAGATGATCCTAGAAATACTATGGGGAAAGTAGTCTCAATCTGGAGCAGCAAAGATGAGGGTTAGCTTCTTGGGGGTCCTCAGCTTTTCCCTCTTAGCAAGTTTCTGTGTGAGCCATGCTGCTATTGACTGTCCCCCACCTCTTGTGCCTGGGCTATAACACAGTTAGGAGTCAAAGATACTTAATTTTAATCTGACCAGAATTAACTGTTGCAATGAATTTCTGTAAGAAAATCTAGTAATGCTTGATGGGAGCATGTATCACAGTCACTGCACTGGAGCTGTACCCCTGTGACATTCTTCTTTCAACTTAACCATAGATCCTTGGTGGTGTAGATGGGCTTTCATTGGTTCGCGAAGGGGTGGCAATATGCTATGGAGACTCTGCTCCCCCAGTTCCTTTAAGTTTTGAGGTGTTCCATTACCCTTTTCTTCTTTGATGTTGAACAGCAGGAAACATGGAGCCCTTAATTTGAGTCTGCCGCAGAAGGACAGAATGGATGACATTTCTCTTGTCAAAGTTCAGTCAAAGCTGATTTACATCAATAATCTAGGACCTTAGAATTTTTTTTTTTTAAATAATCAGATTTACTTTGTTTTATTCAGACTTGGGGAACACTAACAATATAGCTTGATTGGAACTTGCATGCCTGTGCAGAAATTTGACTTCTCCATTATTTTGTTACGAACTAGTGAAAAAGATGAAAGAATGCTGCAAGGAGCAACACTGTAGTGTCAACTATAAAATAAATTTAGTCTCTCTTTTGGTCTACCATCTTTCTCTGCAGCAAATACACTGTGCTGTGATCTCTAAATTATTATTATTAGTATTATTATTTGAGAGAATGAAGCAGTTACTGCCAAAAATATATTTTCTACAAACACCCCAGCCATATAAAAAAGAGAAAAAAGACTTATGAAAGCTTTCATTCGTCAGACTGCCATAGTACTATTTTTTATAGTAATAGTAATGGCTGAGCTACCCTTATAAACAAGTGAAAGGAGAAAGAGACAGAAAATGAACAGAGAAGCTAGAGAGTTACATTTTTCCTTGAGATGCATTTATGTTGCCTCTACTAGCAGTGACAATAAAATATGAAAGTGAATAAATGGAAGAGGAAATAATTTAGAGCCATTACACTTAAGGTAGTCAAGAGTTTAATCTGATGAAAAGAACATTATATGAAATAGTTGGTAACAAAAATTACTTGACTCTTACTCGTTTTTAAAATGTTCAAGAAAAAAGAAACTACACCAGCAACTGCAGCAGCCGCTTTTGTTTTCATGTGCACTTTCCAGGATTGGACAGTTCATGTAATAAAGCCAGTAAACCATATATAAGCATGTCCACTCCATATATTGATCCTTCTCAATTCACACAAAGTATGTGCTCATGTACTCTCACTTTGCATCTAAGTTTGATATAATGAAAAGGTAGTGTAATCCTACAAACAACTGTTGCGCAGTCACTGTTGTGGTAACTTGCTGTATGTCTTGCCCCTAATGCAAAATAAACAGATTATCAAGATTACATTGCTCATGTAGTCTGGACATCTTTTTAAAAAAATAGTTAATTCAAATAAGCCTGAAGCTACAGACTAGTCCTCAATGTGGACTATTGCTTTTTGTTCGTTTGAAAAGCCAGTGATTCTAATTTAACAAAGTTATGACTATTTGAAAATTGCTTAATGAAACTACAACATAGAAAATGTCCTTAAGGTTCCAAGTACACATGTAAATATAGATATGCTGCTTATGGCCCTGATTTAGTAAAGCACTTAAGCACATGCTTCTGTCCCATTTGCTTTAATGACGTAAGCAACTTTTGTACTGAATAGGGATGTTTTTTTGCATGGAGGGGCATGATCATGCAACTAGTGAATTGTGCACTGGTTGATTCAAGAACTCACTAGTTCTGCTGGAAGAGCTTGTAAACTGAGTTCAGATATTTTCCTTGACAAACTCTGGTAATTTAAATGCAAAAGACTGCATTAATGCGAAGTGAAGATTGCAAAGCTAAAATCAAAAAGTCAGGAAACTCAAAAGTTAAGCTTTCAACAAGTTTTAACTCAACTGCATAGCATATATGTGCTGTTGTCCAGCTATACTGAAAGAAGGACAGAAGACATTTGACATGGGTTTAATCAGGCTGCAACTTTATTATTAGATGTCTGGGACTACCCGGCAGATAAAACTATACAGTGCAGGTAACCCCAAGTTCATTCCATAATTACCCAGGGGGCTTCTGCCAGCTCCCCTTCTTTTTCCATCCAGATCCACCCAGCAAATCCATTGCTGGGACTTTACCATCCACTCCCCCTTGTAGGAGGGTTAAGGTGAGTTATAAGAAAAGGGGGTTGGCTCTCTGCCATACCAATCATAGGAGTCCCCACCCCCTTTTCTTTTTAAGTCCTTTCCCAAGCCATTTATCTGGTCACTGTATACCTTCCCTGTGGAGTACCTGCACTGGACATCCGCCCCACACTTAAATAATGAGTTGTGACATACAGCCTACCACCCTTCATGCTACGCATGAGAAAAGCACTTCCTGAACCCACTGTAGGGAAGATGGAAAAAACCCAAATCCACCTACGCCAATCTGGTGGCAAAGGAAAAATTCCTTCCCAGCCCCCCTAAAGAAGGGGTGGCTAGCGCACTGCCCACAGCAGGTCTTGACCAAACCTGGTATCTCAAGCCTCCGCTTGCTCCGTGTAAAAGGGGGCTTCACACACAGGGCTGCCCCTTTTAAACCCCTCTGCCCATCCAGTTCCCAGGGGATGAGTCAGCGTCGTCATGCTGGTCCCTTGTTCCCTTTTGTAGCAGCTTTCCTCTCTCTCTTCTCCCAGCCATAAAACACTGTTCCCTTCATTAGACTAGCCAGACAAATCCTCTCACCCCCTACTTAAAGGTGTGGTGTGGTCATTTTCTCTACCAATTTTCCTAGTTACATGTATAACTTGGATCAATTATTACTAATTGTCATAACATGTATGCTTCAAGGTACTTTTTATCAGTGCATTCAAGTTAATGTTTTTCTTGGAGCCTTAACTTTTGCATTCCCTAACACTTTATGATTTTTGACTGTGCAGCCTTAATATGGCATCAATATAGATCTTTGCATTTAGGGGAAGATTTTCATAGGCACAAAAGGGAATTTTGACTTACTGAGATATTCTTTTCATATGATATACCGATACTGAAGACATTTAAGAAAAGCAAAATTGTTTGGTGCATAGATACTGGAATTGGTGGTGCTGGGGGTGTGGCAGCACTCCCTGATTTGAAGTGGTGTCCATCATATACAAGGTTTACAGTTTGGTTCAATGGCTCTCAGCACCCCACCTATGCAAATTGTTCCAGCGCCTCTGGTTTGGTGTCTGAACTTTTCACTCGGCTGAAAAACTCCTCTTTAATTCTTAAAAGTACTGATACTTAAACAGATGTGTCTGCTGGAAAAATGTTGCATATGTAATGTTGAAAATGTTTGGAAGATGAATATCATGAAATACATTGCATTTTAATTTCTGGATATTTGTTGCAGCTATGAATTTGTGAAATACCTTAGACAATACATATGTAGCACTCTGGGCTCTGTGATTGAAGAAGAAACAGAAAAATGTACCTCTGCTCAAAATCAGGGTGAAGGATCTGGTTATGACACTCTTGTCCAACATGTTACAAAGAAGACTCGGGAATCAAAAGAGTGAGTATGTACACAGGATACATATAAAATTCCATTTTTAAAAATATGCAGTTGGCAAGATTGTCTGGCCCAACGTATTCTTTTTTCCTTTCATATTTTTTCAGTCAATAATTCTTAATTGTAATATTTATGGATGAAGGTACTTTGGTTCTAAAATCTGTTTTTTTGTCATTTATAACTTTCCTCACATATTGCCTTTTGGGTTGAAATTCCTCAGGATTGTCTTATCTTGGAAATGAAAGTATATTGCTGACTAGGAAGGTTTGAAGACAATCCATTGAACTATTTAAGATTTTTGACTTTGTATGGTTAAGGGATTATTTAGGATTTTGGTAGCACTTAAACTCAAATAGCTGTATTTTAAATTTCACACTTGATTTACAAATAGTCCTATATGAGAAATGAGGTCTTTGTCAAATATAAATGTGTGTATCTGAGAAATAATTTGTTTATGCACAATTTTTAAATTTCCTTATAGATTTAAGTGGACACTGAACATGATTATCTAGATATACATACTTTGAAAGCTGTAATTCAACTAAAGTGGATTAGTTGCACTTCTTTTAAATCCTGTCTGCATACAAATTCTCTGGTCTACATTACACATCAGAACCATATTTATAATCATGTTAGGGGATATGTGAGTTGTAGCCAGATTTCTTGAGATACTGGTTTATTTAGTGAAGGCATGACCTTAAATGGAAAGCCCATGTATATGCCAGATAATTCTTACAACCTGGTTAGCCATCCCTTCTTTGCAGATTCTCTTGATTCTCTTGCACAGTATGAACTCCATCTCTATTTGTTGTGTTGTGAATAGAAAGTGATTTTGTTACCAAAACCATTTGTTTTAATTTTAAGTTCTCAGTTCAGCAGGAAGTGAAAACAATCAAAGTTTGTTTCGTGTTGATAGAAATTAATTTTTAAATGTTTGGTTTCAGAAGACTTCACATCTAAAAGGAAACAAAACAACTGAAGTTTTAAACTATGCTTAAATAGTGTCTTGTACATGTCACCTGTTCCAAAATTTGTCACGTTATGACTGCAAGAAATTCAACAGATAATGTTCTGTTTGGGTCTCACAGTCTATTAGGTCTGATTTCAAGACTATTGTAGCCCCTATTGTGGATAACTATAGTCTCCCTGTTATTAGCTGGATATATAACTATTTAAGTGCATGGGGGGGTCTGTCTTGGGAATTTGACCTTTTGATTATGAGCTATACATTTAATGATAATACTTCTGAAATAATTTTGGTAATACACCTCTACCCCAATATAACGCGACCCGATGTAACACTAATTCAGATATATCGCGGTAAAGCAGCACTCCCGGGGGGTGGGGCTGCGCACTCCGGCGGATCAAAGCAAGTTCGATATAACGCGGTTTCACCTATAACGCAGGAAGATTTTTTGGCTCCCGAGGACAGCGTTATATTGGGGTAGAGGTGTATATAGGTAGGTCATACTACAATTGTCAGACACATAGAAGAACATACATTTTTGGGCAAAAGTCAACATGGTTTCTGTAAAGGGAAATCATGTCTTACTAATCTATTAGAGTTCTTCGAAAGGGTCAACAAACGTGGACAAGGGTGTGGAAGCAGAGAAAGAACTGACAGGAAGGGGATGCAATGCATGACAGTTTGTTAGCAAGAGTCAGGCTAACTGTAACCCTAATAACGCGAGATTTGTAGAAGCAAGGAATGTGTGAGGCGAGTGGGAAAGAACTGTGTGAGAAGTTGTTGCGACCTTGTGTAGATAATGTGTAGATAATATGGAATGTAGACTAAGAGTCTACATTAGTGAGAAAAACAAGATATCAGAATGACCTATGTATAAACAAAATGCAGCTGTTGCTCATTATTGTCTGTAACAAAAGGTATAAATGCTTGCTGTAATTGTTTACCTGTTGAGAGACCTGTTTTGCTCTCTCCCTCTACGCAATTGCTTGAGAAAATAAAGTATCTAACTTGCTGTACCCAAACAAAAAGTGAGAACTCTGTTATTCTCCGACAAGGGGGACCCAGTGGACATAGTGTATTTAGATTTCCAGAAAGCCTTTGACAAGGTCCCTCACCAAAGGCTCTTACGTAAATTAAGTTGGCATGGGATAAGAGGGAAGATCCTTTCATGGATTGAGAACTGGTTAAAAGACAGGGAACAAAGGGTAGGAATAAATGGTAAATTTTCTGAATGGAGAGAGGTAACTAGTGGTGTTCCCCCAGGGTCAGTCCTAGGACCAATCCTATTCAGCTTATTCTTAAATGATCTGGAGAAAGGGGTAAACAGTGACGTGGCAAAGTTTGCAGATGATACTAAACCACTCAAGATAGTTAAGACCAAAGCAGACTGTGCAGAACTTCAAAAAGGTCTCACAAAACTAAGCGATTGGGCAACAAAATGGCAAATGAAATTTAATGTGGATAAATGTAAAGTAATGCACACTGGAAAAAATAACCCCAACTATACATACAATATGATGGGGGCTAATTTAACTACAACTAATCAGGAAAGAGATCTTGGAGTCATCATGGATAGTTAGACTCATAGACTTTAAGGTCAGAAGGGACCATTATGGTCATCTAGTCTGACCTCCCGCATGATGCAGGCCACAAAAGCTGACCCACCCACTTTCCCTTAACTCCGCTGTTGAAGTCTCCAGATCGTGATTTAAAGACTTCAAGTCGCAGAGAATCCTCCAGCTTGCGACCCCTGCCCCATGCTGCGGAGGAAGGTGAAAAACCTCCAGGGCCTCTGCCAATCTACACTGGAGGAAAATTCCTTCCCAACCCCAAATATGGCGATCAGTAGAACCCCGAGCATATAGGCAAGATTCTCCAGCCGGATCCTCATTTTACCAGCGATGGCATGTTATTGCCTAATTGACTAATCACGTTATCCCCTCAAACCATTCCCTCCATAAACTTATCTAGCCTAATCTTGAAGCCAGACAGGTCTTTTGCCCCCACCGTTTCCCTCGGAAGGCTGTTCCAAAATTTCACCCCTCTGATGGTTAGAAACCTTCGTCTAATTTCAAGCCTAAACTTCCCCACGGCCAGTTTATATCCATTTGTTCTCGTGTCCACATTAGTACTGAGCTGAAATAATTCCTCTCCCTCCCTGGTATTTATCCCTCTGATATATTTAAAGAGAGCAATCATATCTCCCCTCAGCCTTCTTTTGGTTAGGCTAAACAAACCGAGCTCCTCGAGTCTCCTTTCATATGAAAGGTTTTCCGTTCCTTGGATCATCCTAGTGGCCCTTTGCTGTACCCGTTCCAGTTTGAGTTCATCCTTTTTAAACATAGGAGACCAGAACTGCACACAGTACTCCAAATGAGGTCTCACCAGCGCCTTGTATATTTCTATTAGGAGTCAATGATCAGATTCCAGAGCAAGATCAGTATTTCTAAATACCTGAACATCCCGGATGAGTTTAGTCACATGGTTCCAAAGTAGAATGTGATCCAAGGCTGAACTGTTGCCCGATGGATACTGAAATATATACTTATGAGAATTCCTGTCATGAAACCAGGTAGTCATTAAAATAGTTCATGTGGGAAAGCAAATTCAAATAAACGCACATCATTATCTAGTCTCTCTTCCAGTAAGCTGTGTGTCCCCAATACCAATTCAAATCCATTTCTGTAATGACCAAAGTTAATGTTTAATAAACCCCCTCCATTCAAGAAACAGAATGGAGATGGAGAAAAATAGTCAATTTCCAGACCTTTGTGAAGTCAATACTGTATGTACATGCATGAAAACAAAACTTGATCTGTAAAAGGGAAAAATGCAATAATGTTGTATTTTACATGTATAATAGTGTTTTTCATTCTGAAGGAGGACAGGGCACTTCACAGACTATATATGAAGAAAAAACAAAGTCAATGAGATCTTTGGTGCCGCTATACAGCAGGTATAGCTTGTATATTTAAGGTTTGCCCAAAGACCCACAGACAGTAAACTGCACTAAACTATGTTTATATACACTACAAAATGATAAAGAGCTTGACTACCCAGAGACTCAGTGAATGGCACATTCACACTTGCTGTGCACTAAGTCACCATGTGAACCCTGCTACCATGCACTAAAAGTTCCATAGAGCACTTTGACAAACTACAGTTTCAATCTGAACTTTTAGTGAACCACATAGCCAGTTAGTGCTGTATAGAGGCACCAAAGATCTCATTGACTTTGTTTTTTCTTCATACAGATGTTTGACCAAAGTTGCTCCTTGCCCAGTGTTGTGCAGCATGCAAATTTTGCACTGGGCTGCTGCCCTGCATCCCATATATGGCTGCATTTTAGAGGTGCTGAGCATATATAGTCTGTGAAGTGCCCTGTCCTCCTTCAGAATGAAAAACACTATTATACATGTAAAATACAACATTATTGCATTTTTCCCTTTTACAGATCAAGTTTTGTTTTCATGCATGTACATACAGTATTGACTTCACAAAGGTCTGGAAATTGACTATTTTTCTCCATCTCCATTCTGTTTCTTGAATGGAGGGGGTTTATTAAACATTAACTTTGGTCATTACAGAAATGGATTTGAATTGGTATTGGGGACACACAGCTTACTGGAAGAGAGACTAGATAATGATGTGCGTTTATTTGAATTTGCTTTCCCACATGAACTATTTTAATGACTACCTGGTTTCATGACAGGAATTCTCATAAGTATATATTTCAGTATCCATCGGGCAACAGTTCAGCCTTGGATCACATTCTACTTTGGAACCATGTGACTAAACTCATCCGGGATGTTCAGGTATTTAGGAATACTGATCTTGCTCTGGAATCTGATCATTGACTCCTAATAGTAGAAATAATGATCTGCTTTAGTACCTACTGCATCAAAATGCTTCAGTGTTGATAAGCTTCATGTTGAAGCTATCACTAACAGTTATGTGGTAGCGATTTCCAATAAATATTCTATATTGGATGACTAGTTATCTACCACAGAGGAAGAGTGGACTTTATTTTGGGAATCTGATACAGAAATCACTGGAGAACAGCTAGAACTAAGGAGTATGAAAAAGCAACATAGGATTACAGATGATACCATCAAATTATGGGGAAAAAAGAGAAGTGCAGTGTAGAATGGGTGCAATAAAAGTTGAGGCAAGTTAATGAAGAAAGGAGGAAATGGACAATAGAGGAGAATAAATGTGTTGAACAAGTAGTTAAGAGGGTCCACCAAAATTACCATAGTCAATGGTGAAATAGTATGGCACAGCACATTGAGGAAGCCTCTGAAAGACATGACCAGAAATGCATATTTGAGATTTTGAATGTCATAATGAGACATCCATTCTCATGACTTCCACCAATTAAGGACAAAAATGGAAACTATTGCCAGGATATTGATGCACATTTTAAGCGTTGGTCTGAGCATTTTTGAGAATTAATGAACAGATCCCTATCAAGATGTAAACTACAACTTAATCCAAAAATGAACTAAGTAGAAAATATGCCAGTGACATTAGAGGAAGTGATACCTGTAGCCAAACAGTTATCAAATGATAAAGTACCTGGCCTGGATAACATTTCAATGAACTGCTGAAGAGTGACTGTCTGGGTTTAGTTTAGTCTCTAAGGTGCCACAAGTACTCCTGTTCTTTTGGCTTCATAGAGTTGTCTTAAAAGTTTGGGAAACCAGTCACATTCCAGAAGATTGGAAAAGGGGCTGCATCATGCCTTCCCCCCCCCCCCCCCCCAAAGGAAAAGCAATCATATTGCTCAAATTATTGTGGAATAGCAATGTTATCAGTCCCAGAAAATGCATTTATGATCATATTACCTTATTTACCATATTTTATGATCAAATATTGTTTCAGCTCTATAACGAGAGGCAACCAGTGTGGTTTCCATAAAGGTGATCTACAATCCATTCTGTGTATGCCTTGTGGAATGCTATTGTAAAATGACTAGCGCAAAAAAAGAAAGTTAACATTGCCTTTATTGACTTTGCAGCTGCTTTTGACTCAGTGCATCAATGAGCACTTTGCATAGTGCTATGTCAGGATGGGGTACTTAATGATTTAGTGTGCCTAATGAACACTTTTCCATGGTACACTTAGTTGGGCAAGGATTAACAATTATTACGGACTAGTTTTCAGTAGAATCAGGAATAGGCCATAGATGCCTATTCTCTCACCTACATCATTTGATATTCTAATAGACTATCTGATGACAAAGCTGAAGGAGGCCAAAATAGGTGGTGTGAAATGTAAAGATTCTTTTTTAGAGGATCTTGAGTATGCAGTTGCCTTATTTGGGGAGACTACTGACCAACCACAGCTAATGCTGGAAAGGCTGTGTAGAATTGTAGAATCAATGGAACTTAAGATCAATGGTGATAAAATAGAAGTTATGCACTCTGCCTATAAAATGTCTCGCCAACACTGCAGGTAGATGATGGTAATGATAACAAATGGGTGAATAGTTTTATCTATCTGAATATTTGGTTGACAGCAGGCGGTTCTATAACTGAAGTCACATGTTGGATTCGTTTTACATCAGTGGTATTTCAGCATCTTCAAAGCCTGTCTTGGGGCAGCAGGATTTCTGTGCCAACAAAGATACAAGTGTTTAATACAGTGGTTTTGATGACAAATGTGATGGGTGTGACTCATCACAGTGGCGCCACCTGCTGGCCATCTTGGAGATTAGCTCCACATGTCGGTATGCCTTTTGATGGTGCCTTGCCCCCGTCACATCTGCTCTTGGACCCACATCACTCAAAGGACCGCAGCATCCTCTTCATGATCTGTGCTCCCCCTTGCAGGGGCCCTGCAGTCAACTGTCCAGCCACTGGCCCAGTGACAAGTGTGTGTGGGGGGACCCAGGCCCACCCACTACTTTGGGTCCCAGCCCAGGAACCCTGTCAATGCGCAGCCATGTGCTGCATCCCCTCCAAGTCCTCAGTATATTTCCCTGGGCCACTTCCCCCAACCCCCAGCACCTTCTTTGCCCTTACCTCAGGGCCTCAGCATACCAGTCCTATTGGCCAGCCAGGAGCTCCCTCTTGCTTCCCTGTTCCTGCCCAGTACTGTTCTGTCCAGGGTGCTAGCTACCATCCACCTCTATGGCACCCAGTTTTCCCTCCTTGAGCTCCAGGGAGTAACTGCCCCTGGTTTCAGGGCTGTCTCCAAGTTTTTTTCCACGCCAAGCAAAAACATTTTCCTGCGCGCCCCCCCGCCCCAGCCCAACTCCGCCCCTTCCCCACCCCATTCCAAGTGCCGCCCCAAGCACATGCTTGGAGCACTGGTGCCTATTGGCCACTTCCTGCACAGCCTCTCTAGGGCTCTATTAACCCCTCACATGCTAGTGTGGTTTGGACACCTCATCACAACAACCCTTTACAGGGAGCAGAAACATGTCCATTAGAAACAGCTGAGGAGAGAAAACTAAATAGTTTTCAGTGTCAGAAGTTACACAGTATTCGTAACACCCGTTTGATTTTGTCACAGACAATCCTGGTAAGTTGCAGTCTTGTACCAGCTGAGAACAAGACAACTGTAATGGTGGGGTCATGCCCAACATACAGAAGAAGGTACGGTTCTAAAGAAGGTTTATGGAACTTAGGTAAAAGGAAGCAGAACAGGAGGTCAACAACAAATGAGGTTGGAAGATGAAATTGAGGGATTTAAGAAGCCTAAATCTTCCCATACTGACTCTTGATGAAGGAAGAAGACTTGCAAGAGAATATTTGAGGTGGAAGTTCATTCTGCGCAACAGCATGGCTAGCTACATTATATCCATGTGGATCTTCTGCTTATTAAACATTATACATTTTAGATTAACTTGGTTATCTGAAGGCTACTCTGTCCATGCATTCTGTACTGCTGCTTCCGCAGAGGACTTTTGTGGAAGAAAAATCCTTAATTAAACTTGTGGAAACAGAAACGGTAATGAGGATCAGATTTGGTCTCTTGTATTTTGTTAGGGCTGTATTCTGCTGATGGCTTCACATTGTTCCTATTGAAAGACATCTGAGTGCAGAATACAGCTTCGTGACAAAACTGGGAATGCAGGTCCCTATGCTGTTTGTTATAAATTTTAGTATTGTTATTTGAATAGTTGTAGGAAAGCTTTTTGGTTTATTTTTAAAATGTATATATCTATAGTTTTTAAGTTTGCACACACATTCTGTTAATTACTTGGGATCTGTATAGCGTTTTGTATTTATTTTAAAACTTTTTTAGTTCACTGAGTAAATTCTGTGAAATGTAAATGTAATGGCATGCCTTATTCCATTATTCATAGTTTAATTAGTGATTTTTATGTTGTTTAGTATTAACATTACCTTGACTTTGAAGGTACAGAGAAATGATGCATTCCTTGAAGAATGTCATGATGGTGGTGGTGGAATCTCTGATTAACAAATTTGAAGAAGATCAGATGCGTAATAAGGAGATGCATAGGAAAACCAAGAAAGAGCAACATAGTGCTTACTATACGGACAACTGCTCTGATAGTGACTCATCTTTCAATCAGGTATGATATTACGATCTGGACTTGTATTGTGGAATAAGTAAAATACTTATACTTGTAGTAGAAAAAGAGCCTGAGACGTAAGCCTTTGTATCAGAGGCCTGGTATGAGGCAGGACCTGCTCACAGAATCTGGCAAGAACAGGGCTAATATTGCAGAAATACATGTTCCTAAGAAGTGCTAGTCACAGAGTACTCACGCAAACACATCCCGATATCAAGTGGTACCAGTACGAGAATATCCAAATATCAAGAATGGTACAAAAACATTCCCAAGGATAACAGGAACACACTGACCCCTCCTAAAAGATAAGGTCAGGATGACAGTATGTAATATAACCAACATGTACCAGGTGATGGGTGATAACTAGCCACATCAGGGGGAAGTAACTAACTATGTCAGAGGTGTTATGCTCATACAAAACACATGGGATCTTTATAGAGGAAGGTTAATACACGCAGCATTTATTGAGAATACCACAGTTAGCATATGCTTTTTACACACACACACACACACACACACACACACACACACACACTCCTGCAGTGATGTTTATAGTTACCAGTCCAGAGTCTGGATCAATCTAGTGGCCAGCCAGATTGGTCGCAGAGCGGAGCGGGGTTCTATCAGTTGCGATCCGATGCTCCTGGAGTATGGCAAGACGAACCCAAAGTCCTATGGCAAAGCACCCTGTTCTTATAGGTTTTCTTCTCTATTGAAGCCTACGGATTCTGCTGTGTCACTTTGTGACCGGTTACTTCTTAATTGGTGTAAACATTCCAATACACCTCCGAGAGGGTCATCCTGTCCTTTGTTCCGATTTAATCAATTGTCTTTAGGCATGCCAGCCTTTACCTCATGGTTGTCAATCTGCCCTTCATTATGGATGCGTGTTGATGATTCTTTGATGTCCTTTAAGTTTCTTCACTCCTTCTTCCTTGACTCTGGCTATAACAATGGCCTTCATACCTTATCTTTCCTAATGCATACATTCCTCATTCACACAAACAGATTGAGAATACAAACAGTAGTATTTTATATTGAGCAAAAGGGCATTGCAAATTAAATTAAAAAAACTTGCTAAGTTTTTCAATCAATAACCAAGACAATTTACATTGAGACCCAGGCCTTCAATGTTCCTCTAATCTACTTAACATAGACCCAATAGAGAACCCTGTCTTTTATTTACTAAACCTTAAAACAAAGAAATGTATATTTAACTAGAGTGCCTACTTTGTAATACATATAGGAAACCATAGTAGACATTATAACTTATTATAAAACAAAAGGGTGACCATAATCAGTCATAAGGATTGTTTTGGTCTGTCATCCTTTCTGCTATTCAAAAAGGGTGGCTGACAGGATGAAATCAAATCATACATTAATTCTCATAGTACATTATAAAATCCAGCTCCTACAGAGGGGCAGTACTAGCTTGTTTGTATTGGGTATATGAAGGTATATCTCAGAGGGAGTATCTTTGGCTAGTCAAGGAACGGAACGGAAAGTCTCGTCGTTCACTGAGCTGGTCCATTGTTACAGGCATACATGTATTACTGGTCCGGTAGAGTCTGCGGGATACTAGTACCGTGCCTCATTGACAATAAACCTGGCTGGGTTCCTTCATCCCTTAACGGCTCTTGTGGTCATTGGGAGGTTCACTCTCGAAGTTTGCTGTGCCAGCTGTCTGCGCAGGGCTGGGGAAGCATACAAAGGGATCACACGCACACAGCCAAACATCTATTAACATCTAACCACACTTGTGATCTTGATTAATTTGATGTTTATGGTTCTCCATCAGAGTAGTGAGTAGTGATATTACAATTAAGGATGAGATGGCACTTTCACTGTAAACCCCAGTTTTCAATTGATTACACCTTTTTTCAAAAAGTTACCCTTTTGTTTGAACTTCCTCACATGTGGTCTTAACCTTGAAGTGATTTTTTTAAAAGATGATGTCTAAAGATTCTTTTCAGTTGAGCAGTAGCAGAATTGAATCGTTTTTAAAAAATGAAATCTTAGATTCTGCAGCCAGATTCGTCTGCAAAGGGTAAATTCTTTCGCAGTTCTGTTGCCTTAGAGTCATGAAAAACATGGTTTCTTGCATTTACAATGTCTGTGAGCATGCAAGTGCGGGGACATATATAATCTGCAAAATACGTGCAAATAATGTGAGGGAAAAGGTGAAGTTTACATAAACACAATATTCATTTTAACTTTTTGCAGTTTTACTGGAAGAACAGTAAAATACTGTATATTTATTTTCCAACATGCAATACTATGCTATATTAATTGCATGCCACATTACCTAGCATTGTATAACAATTTTATAATAGCAACAGAGGGTCCTGTGGCACCTTTAAGACTAACAGAAGTATTGGGAGCATAAGCTTTCGTGGGTAAGAACCTCACTTCTTTAGATGCAAGACTTGCATCTGAAGAAGTGAGGTTCTTGCCCACGAAAGCTTATGCTCCCAATACTTCTGTTAGTCTTAAAGGTGCCACAGGACCCTCTGTTGCTTTTTACAGATTCAGACTAACATAGCTACCCCTCTGATAATTTTGTAATACAGAGGCAGAATGGAGAAGAAAGAATTTTATTACTGGACCTTCAAGTTTGGGTTTTCTGAACTTCGGCCATTTAAAATCTCAACTTTAACGTTGCATTAAGATAAATGCTAACACTTTAATTGTTCAAAAATAAATTTTATATCCATAAAGTCTGATGATTTTAGTCATTAGTGGTGCATTTTAATAGGATTTACTTAGTTAACGTTTTACATTGTGTGTTACAGAGTTATACATTCATGAATCAAGAACAATTACAGCTACTTGTGGAAAGGCTTGACCCTGCTCAACCTAAAGAGGTAAGTGAAAAGAATGTCTAAAATATCACTCATATAAATGAAAACTTATGGTATATTTGAGAATATGGTACCTGTAGATAAACATGGGTGAAATCCTGGCTCCACTGAAATGAATGGCAAAACTGTAAATGACTTCAGTGGGTCCATGATTTCATCTTTACTTCAGCTTTATAGTTACAATAATACAAATAATAACAACAATAGTTACAGTTGCAATCATTCCATTTCAGGGGTCGGCAACCTTTGGTAATCTGCTGGTGGGCTGTGAGACATTTTGTTTACGTTAACCGTCTGCAGGCACGGCCCCCTGCAGCTCCCGGTGGCCGCGGTTCGCTGTTCCCGGCCAATGGGAGCTGCGGGAAGCAGCAGCCAGCAGCACATCACTGAAAGGTGTCTGGCAGTAAATTGCTTCATATTTATTGTTGTTTATTTTTTGCAGTGCTATTACTCCAGGTTGTGGCATTTGAGTAATAAAGTAAAGCAATTTAATGATCTAGTATAAATCTTGTATTTGATAACAAAATATATAGTTGCTATGGGAGAGCAAAATACTAATAGGAATCAACATAATCCTTAGATTACTTTAATTATGTATTTTAAAAGTGTATGCTTTTGTGTTTCCTGTTTTGTCCAAATTATCTTAACAATCTACTAGCAGAAGAGGTGGGTTGTTTTTTTTTTGAATTCTTGCTTTTTGTGTCCTATTACTATGGACTGTTTCCCCACAAAAATCACATTTTTAAGTATTTCATTGTAATGGTACTGTTGACAGCATTGTTTTGTTTATGTTTCTTGATTGGGGGGGAGGAATAGCTCAGTGGTTTGAGCATTGGCCTGCTAAACCCAGGGTTGTGAGTTCAATCCTTGAAGGGGCTACTTAGGGATCTGGGGCAAAAATCTGTCTGGGGATTGGTCCTGCTTTGAGCAGGGGGTTGGACTAGATGATCTCCTGAGGTCCCTTCCAACCCTGATATTCTATGATTCTATGATTATTTCAGGTGCGCCAGGAAGCAATGCAGACATTGTGTTCTGCGCCTCCCTCTGATGTACTAAACTGTGAGAGTTGGTCTAATTTGCGTAAACATCTGACAATGTCTCTCTCGGATCCTGATTCCACGTTCAGTGTAAGCAAATGGTTTATATGTAGCAATCATGTTTATCTATTCTAAACAGTTCACAGGAATAAACATGTACATTTGTGACATGGTAGTCCAGTGATCTGGCAAGAGGTAACTAATTTGTATATTTATCAGTTAAATTGTTCTTGAGGTAAAACAACTTACCACATTTCTCCAGCACTTGATTTAAAGGTGACTGGCACAGGACTGTGTAATAACTGGACTTGTTCCCTGTATTGATTTTTTTATGATGTATGAAGATGCCTCAATATTGTGTTTGTTTTTTATAGATTTTTTTCTGATTATTTTCCCCTTATAAATATCTGTTTTTTCCTGGTTTTGCTAGAGGTCTCAGAGGATGTGTATTGTGTGTTCTCATACTTTAATTGAAAGGGTGTGGGTGTTTGTATTGAATCTTTAACAGAGACTTCCTTTCTCCAATATTATTTCATTAGTCATTGAAGTTAAACAGATATAGATAATTTTTTAAAGTAAAAAGTAACACTTTTTAATTACTATATCTATCTAGTGTACTGCACACTGCTTTATTCAGTAATTTCACTCCAGTATAGCCTGGAGGAGTTCCACATCTCTTAGAAGTGCTATTAGTGAGAGAAATTTTCAAAGGCATAAATTTGAGCAACATGTCCATCATCCATTGTCTTTTAGTGGGAGTTTGGTGCCTAATTTCTTTAGATCCTTGTGAAAATGTCAGCCTACATTAGTTTTAGGCAGTCAAATGAATTTCTGTGAAAACGAATCTACATGTTATAATATCAATCAGTTGGAGAATGTACCATGCTTCCCATTCCAGTAGAATGTGGTACAAGCTGGGTCCAATTCTGATTCTCTGAACCTGAAGATCATTGTTTAAGAGGCCATGACTTGGACTAGAGTGCGAAGAGATAAAGGACCTTAAAAAGTAAGACAGATTGGCAGAGATTACTGGAATTCACATCAGCCCCAACAAATTACTCAGCATAGAGTTTACATATGTTTGTTGAAACCTCACAGGTATATAGTGCAGTATTTGCATTCACTTGCCATTTTTCAGACAAGCTTTATGCAGCCAGTTAAATTCACATTTAAATCAGTGGGTATATGACTGGTATCCAAATTTTGCTTTGTGTAGACTGGTTTTGACTGGGCTAATTTTAAAATGAATATAGTAAAGATTTTTTTTTCTATTGAGAAGAGAACTTCATTATTTCTGTATTATAGTGCTCACTGTGGTATATTAAATTTGCACTTTAAAAGTTATTTAAGTTGTATCTTTTGCTTTGTTCTCTGTAATAGCATAAAAAATAAAATGTATTTATCATTTTGTTAAAAAGATTGCCTAACTACTATATAAAATGTGATGGTGATCTCTCACAGTAAAGCAGTGTATTTTCTCATTGTCACAAAAGATATGATACATCTTGAAGATACAGTGTTGCATATGCACTGTTCAGAAAAAAAAATATGATGCTTTCTTTATTACTTTTGGCATGATCTCTGGGGCACATCTCCTCTGGAAAAGCAATGCAAATGAAGTGATGTGGGGTTTTTTCAGTGTGGAAGTGCCCTTCATATCTGCCAAAACTAAAATTGTTAAAGCTGCGCCAAGTGCTGTCATTTATCTCTCTCCTTGTTCCTAAGAAGTGCTTTCATTGGTTTAAAAGCTGTGGTTAAACTTCATATCATTAGTGTTACTGTGTAAGTTACTTGCATTTTGTATGACATTAAAACAATTAAAATATACTAATATAGGCCCTGATCCTGTGCCTGCATAGATCAGTGCAGTTCCATGCGGGAGCAGCAAATTGCGAGATCAGGGCACTGTTCCTTTTAGATTGTAGGTTCTTGAGACCACAGACCTGTTTTGTATCCTGGTAATGCACCAGGTGCATCTTTAGTGCTATTTAAGTAGTATGTAATATTGAGCATAACACACAATACATTTTAATTGTACCATATTATACACCATGCTAATAAGGTTATTTGAGCATAGGTTACTAATTTTATTTCTTTTTCTTCTTAGGACAAAATTTTGAGATTCTATGCAAAGACCTTTTCATCTTCTCCACTAAATATGACAAGGGAAGTCTATACAAGCTTAGGTATGTGCATTTAATCATGTTTTAATAATTTTTCATGTTTCATATGCTTTTCTGAAATCATTTTAAAAAAAATCACAACCTAATGAAGTCTATATTACTAGTAATACTGTTTTTCCCCCCCACTCTTTTCAGCGAAACACTTAGAATTGTACTTTCTTTCTGGAGAAAATTGTGTTCCTACTATTTCAGATGGTATAGACATAACTAACCCAGAAATAATTCGTTTACTTAAAAAGGTATACGTTAGCTTTCTATCCCTTTTATTTTTTAATTATTGAAATATTATTAATTCTTTTTAAAAAAATTATAACCTTTATGTTCACAGGTGCGTCTTCTAAATGAGTACCAAAGAGAGGTTCCCTCTTTCTGGATTCGTCATCCAGAAAAGTATGTCACCTTTTTTCTGAGATAAATATTTTTTACATTAGTGTTTAAAGGCATAGAATTTTATCCGAAGATTAGTAATGTGTATCCAAATGTCTGGATTGTGGGGGGTGATAGAGAGGGACTGAGAGCTGGTTGAGCATGGGACAGGGGAATGGCCAGTGGATCTGTCATGGCATGGATCCATTGGATCACAAAACTACTTAGAGGCTCACTGTGGACAGTGGTCTATACTCCTTCCCTTCATTACTATTTTATTGGATTCTTTACAGATCAAGAGGCAAGGCCCCTATGCTGAGAATTTTATAACCTAAACAAAGAACACATGAGGAATTGGGGGTGGAGGGTGAGGGAGAGGAAGTGGTGGAACTAGTAGTGATATTCAGTGTATGACTTACTGTTCCTTGTTTTCTTTCTCTTGTGCACATACAAAGGGTCTATATAAGGAAAGCACTTTTGGATGGGAATGAGGAAAAAGGAGTTAAAAGGCTGTGTTGAAGAAATTAGTTTAAAGGAGCGATGCTCTCCATAGGTTATAGTAATGGGTGCAGTCCAGCTGTGTAGACACTTGAGGGAATGAATTCACTCTACAGTCTCTGCATAATTTCAGTAACCCTTTTAGTCAGGCCTTGCTTGATGGATTTCATAGTGATCTGCATTTTCAACTGTTTCACTACATATTTACGGGCTTGATTCAGGAACCACTTGGTGAAATTCTATGGCCCATGTTACAGAGAGGGTCAGACTTGATTTTATCATTGTGGTTCCTTTTGGCCTTCAAATTTGTGAATCTCTGAATAAACATGTAGGATGATTACTGCATGTACAAAACATTTTTGTGCCCCACTATGCCTTTTTTTTTGGTACCATATTCTTTTCCTCTTTAATTTAGTATACTACTCATATAAATATATTGGTTTCTTCCAATTAATTAGTCACAGTCTTAGAGAAAGTCCCTTTCCATTTCCCATCTGCCAGTTCAGGGCTACTACTTCATTATCTCCCTCAACTGCCATCAGCTATGCAGGTGTCTTTGTGTAAATATATTTTTTGATATATACTCTTTCCATTCCCGCCATCCTTATTTTCCAATCATAAAGAATCATTTGACAAATAACCCTAGCTTTCTTCTCTCCATAGCTAGTTCAGCTTCTGGTTTTTAGTCTTCTGTGCCTTTCAGCCTTTTCTCCTACTGTCTTTCAGCCTTCAGGCCCCCTGCCTTTGGGGAAGCAGGCAAACACTTTTCCCTGCTAGTTCCACTTCAGCTTGGCATCAGCTGCATGATATCAATTCCCCATCAGTGCACTCAAAATAATCTACCTCCTCTCCAGACTCTCTGGAAACCTTATCCTCTCCTCACATCTTCTAGCATATGCCAACAGATGTCAGGATCTCCAATACTCAGTATGACTGCATGATGCAGGAAGTGTTGGTGATTGAGTATGTAGCAGTCTTAATTCCAAGTCATTGATGGTCCAGTGCCACAGCATCTCAGAGGGGCTTTGCTTTTGGAGGTGTTTTTCAGATGAGAGAAAAGTGGCTAATCACTTTAATTAAAAGATCAGTGGCATTTTCCCCAACAGTCAGAGACTTCGGCCCCAGGATTCTGGCCAAATCCAAGTCTGAGTAATTACATTCTATCTACTTAAATTCCCCTGCAGTTTCAATTGAATGATAGTGTATTCTTTTTCCTAACAATTTGGGTAGTAGTTTTTATGCATAGTTAAACATTTACCTTCTTTTGTCGTGGAGGAGACTGCATTTCAATGGTGGGTAAACAATTAATAATAATAATTATTAGCCAACTTTTATATACTGTTTTATATACTGTTGGTAAGATGCTATATAAAAATATGCATGTTGTTATCCATTTTATTCACTGTAACACAGCAAGGGCTGAAAAAGAACTTTAAAAGATCAAATTAAATGTAATTCAGTTTCCATTTACAGTGTGTGTGTATATATAATATTTCTCAGTTCAAAAAGTTTTCCAGTATTATAAGCAAGATTATTTTTGAATGGTACCAGCATAAAATTTAATTCAATTTAACACTTGACCAATTTTTTTTCTCATAATCTCTTAAGGTATATGGAAGAAATAGTTGAGAGTACCTTATTGCTGTTGTCAGTAAAACATGAGCAAAGACACCTTGTCTCTCCAAAACTTTTGGATCCAGTCTACTTCTTGGCTCTGCTTGATATCAAAGCTGTGTGGTTTAAAAAATGGATGGTAAGGAAAAATGGAAGGATCTGCTGATGGATTTTATGTATTTCAGAATGTTTAACTCATAAAGATTGGAAACAGTGATTCTAGGTTGTAACCAATTCTATAGACTATAACATATGGTATATATACCTGCTAAAGGGTTTTGGGGGCAGAAAGTAATTGGTGCAGAAGTAGTTTAAAATGCATCTTTTGTGACAGTTTTTAAGTAAAGGTGATTATATTGTAATGAAGGGTTAAAATTTAAACATCATAAAACAATGAGAAACATATATAAAAAGTTGTGTGTGGCAATAGTCCTGGGCCATGTTAAAGAGAAGGGTACAGGTGGAAGGATAGAGAATAGCTTCATTGGGAAGGTGTGGTGTAGATTCCTTTTGAGGTTAGAATTAGCTATCCTCCAAGGGAGCACAAAAGGGTCAATTTGCATTCTGCCTCTCACAACTATACCATTCAGGATTTGCATAGCTCCATATGAAGCCATATCCTGTCATCTAAGCATAGTTACTGGTTTTCTAGTTTGGTACATGTGAAACTGCACATTGTGTTTATTTTCATTCTGGCCTATCTCTAGAACTACTGTAGTTTTATTGTAATCCCCTCTTTTTTATGGCTACCCTAATCTAATGCCAATAGAAAAACAAACATACCTGTATGCAATAGTGATTAACATGAGTTAGAATTTAATTCTGTGCAGTAATTATTGGAATAGAATTGGAGAACTTTGATTTTTGTGTTGCAAAGTAAAAATTAAATAAAATGATAGATGTTCACACTATTTCTATTTTACAATTTTAGCATGCAAATTATAGCAGAACAGTGGTGCTAAGGCTCCTTGAAAAGAAATATAAATCTCTGGTAAGTCTATATTTGTGGTTGCCATATTCTGCTTAGAATTTATTTCCATTTTGTTCCTTGTGGTTTGAGCAGTTGTTTGTTCCTGTCCTCCATTGTGGCTGGTCTTTTTTCCTTCGGTGGACCATGTGATAGTTTTTTAAATTGGCCACGTCTTTGGTTTAAAAAAATTGTTTCAGAATCTGATAGTCTTTTGTCAGTGCTAAATGCAATATGGGGCATGCGAGCAGATTTGAATAAGGGGAAATTGAAAAGTTTGATATCAGCTATTTAATAAATGAGACTATTGTTTAATACTATTTATACATGTCATATTATAGATTTATTGCATAAGACATACATATAGATGATGATAAACATGTGGAGAATTGTCATAAAAACATACGTCTTGAGTTTGGCTTTAAACTGTTTAATGAAAAAAGACCCCTCCTGTTAATGCAATATTAAGGTTATGAAATCAAGCATCATCAATCAAAAATTGTAAGGCTAAGGCAGAACATATCACATATGTAAAGCACCAATACTGCAACTTGTTCCACGTGAGCAGACCCTTGTGTGACAGTTGTGGGGCCTGGGAAGTGTAAGGAGTTCAAACGACTATATTGAAATGTGGCAGCAGACATGGACTTTTGGCACAATGTGTTAAGTGGGTTTCCTGGGGAATCCTTGGAGAGTGAATAATGCAAATTCCACAGCCCGGGCTATGCAAAAGCCAAAAAAGATGGCTACTGACTAGTTACCTTGGCCCAAGCTCTATAAGAAACAGCTGAATTGTCCACGGGGGTCTGGTTCCTGGTCTAAAAACTGACCATGAACTTGTAATCAAGGGGGCAAACCCAGCTGTGGTGTCTGAAAGACTGACACCTACCAGAACCCTGTGTTTGAATTAGGGGTGACCGCTGGTAAGCATTTAGCATTCATGTAGGTTCTTTTTTGGTTTTATATGTTTTCTCTGCAATGTCTTTGCTTGAAGAATAAATGCAATTTGCTTTGTGAAGGCCGGTTGGTAGTTGGTGTATACTGTTATAGTCCCTGGAGAAAGAGTTAACCTCAGGTTCTGGATCCTGGTCAAATCTACTGGAAAATTACAGCGAGTTGCAAAGGGACTGCAAACCTTAAACCCCCAGTCTCAAGGGAGAGAGATGCAGGTCCCCACCCTAAAAGAGATGACAGCTGGGAAGCCTAAATCCTTGAGTGGGTGCCCTCGAGGAAGACCAGGAGGAGAGTCAAAGGTGCAATTGACTCTGAAACTGTGACCCCCTGCACTTGCACGAAGCTTTGCTGATTTCAGTGGGCTCCATGCAGTGGCGGTCCACATGTATGGAACGTGTTGCAGGATCGGGGCTGTAATTTAAAAAATAGGTTAATACAAATGAAGAGATGTGATGTGATGTTTTTTATGATACATCACATCACATGATAAAATTATAATATATTAAATAAAATACAGGAAAAAACATAAAAATACCTTTTATATTAGGTGCATTTAGGTTTATTAGTTGTGTACCAACATCATGCTCGGCTCTCTGAAAACATAGAGGAAAAAGTGGTCCATGCCCCAAAGAGTTCATAATATAAAGTGTACACACAGTAAAGTTAAACATACATGTTCCATAAATATAAGTTAGGCCCACTACCAAGTTGTGCATTTATTTTACTTTTTTTCAATGTATATGCAATACATGGTTCAATAGTAAAAGAGACACGTCGGCACCCCAGTATTATAATTGCAAATATAACTTCAGGCCTACTCTTGCATTATTTAGTAATTTCAAAAACATGTTTCTGGGGAGGTGTACATCTGCAGTTTTGATTGCAGCACTTGTTGAGTAGAGTGCTGTGTGCTGAAAACCCTTTTTTTTTAAACAAAAAAATATTTGGTAGCATAAACACTCTACCCTTTTGCAGAGACCATCAGTGCTAGCAATATTGTTCAGGACTGATACATTTGACTAGTATAGATGGATCCTCTGACCAAACATTTCAAATTTCGATGACAAAACTTAGGCTTCTAAGTCCATATTTAAGCACCTAAATAAAATATATTTACCCCGATATAATGCTACCCAATATAACACGAATTCGGATAGAACGCGGTAAAGCAGTGCTCGGGGGGGGCGGGGCTGCGCACTCCGGTGGATCAAAGCAAGTTTGATATAAGGCGGTTTCACCTATAACGCGGTAAGATATTTTGGCTCCTGAGGACAGCGTTATATCGGGGTAGAGGTGTAGTTGATATTCAGAATTGCTGGCCACCAACTAATCCCATCAAAATCAATGAGAGCTGCAGGTGCTCTCTACCTTTGAAAATGAGGCGACTTATTTAAATAATTAAACATCAATTTAGAAGCTTAATGTTAGGCACATAGGTTTGAAAATGTTGACCACAAACTTTCAGATCATCTTAATAAAATATCTAGCTTATAGCAGCATACACATTTAAGCCAGCGCTGAATTTGATCAGTCATATTCAGTGATATAGACACCATTGTACGGTACATTGGGAGGGAGAAGAAAAAGAAGAAATAGTTTGAGGTTTTGAAGACCAGATTAGGTGTCCTTTTGAAGCAGGAAAAAAACATCTACATGTGTAGTGGGCAAAGTGACTTTAAAACATGGCTATTAAAAGTGAAAAGAGACCATGAGTGAAATTATTTTAAAAGGGTGATTAAAATGTGGGATAAGTTAAAGAATGCAGTTGGCTTTTTGGACATATGTAGCTTATTCTCCTGACATCTTTACAATGCTACCCTACAACATGTTTTTATTTAGTTAAGCTGTGGGAGGGGAGGCATTGTCTGGTTTGCAGAAAGAAGGGGTATATCACTTTAAGAAAAGAAAGAAAGCACCGCGGGTCAGTTGACTCCTCCCCCAGGGACTGGAAGAGCTGGGGAGTTGATAAGGGCAAGCTCAGCAAGAGAAGCCCCTTTTCACTAGACCAGGTGGAGCAGCAATGGGTTGGCTGGAAAAAGGGGGGCTGGTGGAAGCCCCCAGGTAGATATTGAAATGAACATGGAATTACCTGCACTATATTATTTTATCTGCCAGGTTATCTGAGACAACTAATAATAAAGTTGGGGGCTCATTAAACCATACCCAGTGTCTTCTGTCCTTCTTCCAGTATAACTGGACAATGTTGTGAATTAGATTGGCCTGCTGAACTTCTTGACATCCCGAAATAATTCCCACCACACAGTTTCCATATCAATGTTCCTGAATAACACTAAATATTGTACTTCTCTTAGCTTTCATAAATACCTACACAGTACCCTTTTCGCAGAATAATCCTTTTGATACCTGTAGATCTGAGGTTTCTATTGATAAACATTATGGACTTCTCAGTGGCACTTATATTGCTTTGGAAAAATTTCCCTCCTTTTGGTAAATGGCTGATTCATTTTAAACTATGTGCAATCATATGAAAATTCAGGCCCTTTTAAGAGGCAATACTTGGATCTAAAGGAGAATTAATTTATTGTGAGGTGTTGGAAGTTTTATTGTATTGTGCTTTTTTCAGATTAATGCATCTGTTCAACAGTGTGTTTACTACTTTGAATCATGTGAATCAGCAGTTGATGCAACTTCTAGAGTTAATGTTTTGCCCCAGCAGTACAGCAGTAAGTAATTATTTTATCGTGTTGTACAATTTTATATATATGTATAAAACCTAGATTTTTATACTATGCTTATTACTGTGATATCTGAGCTCCACATGACAAAAGAAGAATACACCCTCACGCTTTCACCCCACAAAAATATCTTTATATATAATCTTTTGAAATAGCTCTTTATGTCTTTTTCACTTGAAATGGGGAAAAAAAGTATATTTCAGTGATATTTGCTTATTTATGCTATCTGGGAAACTTCCTTTACAAATGTAGTACTACACATTTTTGGTGGTTCAAACCGGAATACATAATAGACAGGTATGGTACTGAAAATTATAACTGAATTGTGAGAAATGTTCTTATTTTTTTTAAGGCAATAACCAGAAGACTTTCTACTCAGGACAAGAATTACAGTATATCTATTTTGTTCATTCACTGTGCCTTTTAGGAAGATTGTTGATATATAAACAAGGCAGAAACCTGTTTCCTGTACAGCTGGAAAATAGAAAAGGTATGGGCAAGTGGAGGAAAAAGGAAGGTGTTTAATGACAATGTGTTTGTAGTTAAGCTGTGTTTCAAATGTGGTATTGTAGATGTTAGTGAGATTGTTCCTATTATTTAGCACTTCTGTAACTGGGAGTCTTTGTTAGACATAGTGTGGCTAAAATTGAGATTGGGGCCTAATTTCTTCATCCTTGATACTAAGTAAATTTGTATTGTTGTCTGAGTAGTGAAAGTAGTAATGGAGCAGTTAATGTACTAAGAACGGTTACATTATGACGACATTGAGATAATAAGTTAAATCCACAGTCTTGTTGCAAATGTATGGAAAATTCCCTTTACAATTAACTTCAACTTGTAATAAACTTGATGGAGTTTGTCCAATTATTCATAAATATCGTACATGTATTCAATACCTTTAAATTATAGGTCACCTCCTACTTCCACAGAAGATGTGGTAAAAGTCCAGTTGATTTAAATGGGAGAGGATCAAGCCATATAAGATGATCTGGAAGTATTTACAGTGGTTAGCTAAGTGGCTACAGTCCAAAATTATTGTAGTGTGTCATCTGTAGATAAAGCCGTTAATCACAATAAAACAAGAAGTTGCTTACCTATGTCTAGAAAGTTCATTTTTGTTATGAGGTTAATATAATGCTTTATTTTATAGACTCCTTTTTTTCCTTTGTGATTTTTCTAGATTTCATATCCCTAACCGACCTGTTGGTACTATTTATTCGATTTATTTATTGCTCTCCCACTTGCCCAAAGACAACTCTGACAGTGCACACAGGTAATATTGCCCTTTTTAATTAATTTCTTAATTGTATCACTTTGTGAATAAAGGAAGAATTCAATACCTTTTGTATCTGGTTACTTTTAATTTGGACATTTTAAATAACAGTTTGCAAACTTTTTTTAGTTTTCTTTCTTTCTTGACTGGATATTACCCAACTGAAGATGACTCAAGTAAGCATCTGGGTAAAAGTTATGATAATATATTAATGTTCATTTATATTAAAAATGTAAACTAATACTTCTTGTGTTTGACAGGCAATTATTCTCCAGCAATCCTTGTTACAGAGGTGCTACAAACTCTGTGTGACCGAACTGAATGTGCTACTGAATGTTTATATTCTAATATGGTGATAGATGCACTTCTTCATCCCATTCATAATTTACTGAATGGAACAGAGGTTTGTAGTGTTCCCCCAAATAAACTTAAAATGTTTGTTTAAATCTTACGATATCAAAGAGATGTGTGAGAAAAATCAATACTTTTGTTAAAGTGTATTCTTGTGGTATTGGAAATCAGTGCAACCTGATAGTGTGGATGTTGTTATCCATTATAAAGGTGCTTAATTGGTATAGTTTATTTTCATTACAGTATCACCTTTAGTGTATGGATAGTCCATTCTCCATGCTGATTCAGTCCATGGACTCTTTCCTGGCAAAAACAACGAGGAGTCCTTGTGTCACCTTAGAGACTAACAAATGTATTTGGGTATAAGCTTTCATGGGCTAGAACCCACTTCATCAGATGCATGGAGTGGAAAATACAGGAGCAGGCTACCACTCTGAAATCTTTCCTGGCAGTATCATTAAAGGTGATAATTATGATGAGGATGTGTACGTGCTTCAATTTGAACAGAGGCCATTTATTAATTTTGTTTATGCCAGTGAAACTCAGATCTCAGTGATTCAGGAGCCAAATTAGCTATCAACATTACCCAAAAGAGCCACAGTAGTGTGAATTCATTGTTCCATTTACTATAGTAATACACACACGCACACTCTCGTAGCAAATAAATTAATAACTTAATTGATTAACCAATCAGGATGCTTTTACTATGTTAGTAATAATTTAAATTGGTTAATAATTAAATCACACAGTATTTTAATATCATGTGTTGCAAAGAGCTGCAGAAGACACATTAAAGAGTCACTTGTGGCTCGCAAGCATCTGGGCTGGTCTACACTAGCACTATAAATCAATCTAAGTTACACTAGTTCAGTTATGTAAATTACGTAACTGAAGTCGCCGTAATTTGGATCAATTTACAATGGTGTCTCCGCCGTGCTATGTTGACAAGAGATGCTCTCCCGTCGACATAGCTTCCGCCTCTTGGGGAGGTAGAGTACAGACGTCAATGGGAGAACGCTCTCCCATCGACTTAGTGTGTCTTCACCAGACCTGCTAAATCGACACCGCTGCATCAATCGCAGCAGTGCCAATTTAGCCGATAGTGTAGACATGGCTTCAGTTTGAGAATCACGGATTTAGGCCATTGAACATCCATCATAAGGGTGGCCATCGGTCACTAAAGACCTGAGCCAGACTTGTACAAGCATATTTTACAGAAACATATTACAAATGTAAAAAAAAACTTTATAAGCCATTTACCTAAAAAACTAATGTATTTTTTTAACAAAACAGATGTATATAAATTGCCCTGAAACCTCTTTAATACATATAGCTGATATTTTGGCAAGGATTGCTGCTGTAGAAGATGGCCTTTCTCTTATCCTTTATGGAGGAAACATGAACTCTGCCAAAAAGGATAGGTAAGAGAGTACTTTAAAAAATTATGTTACTCCACTAAATATGAGCTTGAAGTCATTTGTTGTCCCCCTGTTATTTATAAAGTACATATGTTTTGTTTTTGCTTTAAATATCTATACACATTTATTTGCTTATATCAGCAGTTATATAGCTTAACATATATTTTCTCAAATTCTTAATATTTACATTTTATTATGTAAAAATGGTGAATGATGCACTTTTTTACTAGATTAGTTTTTTACTTGTTATCTGTGTTAAGCTGCATGTGTCTGTACATTGGAATTAAATGAAAATGCCCCAAAACAACATTTATAAATGGTTTTATTAGTTGAATAAAACGACTTTGAAAAACAAAGTAAGTTTACCAAACATGTTTTGTATTTTAAACTAACTGATTTATGAAACAAAATATATATATAATCTGTAGTTAGTGTGTTGAACTGATTGTTTCTGGTCACTATGTCGTTTAAGATTTTAGGAATAGTAGATCTCATCTTCTCACAATTTGTTTTTATTCATAGATTGATTGAGGAAAATGAGATTTCCTTCTTTTTCAACTCCCAGCTGGTTTCTTAATTTTGAATGAGTTAGTCACTGAACCGAACTAGTAGAATAAATTGAAATGAAGTAAATAGTCTCACTGTACCTGCAGCAGAGGTAGCTACTATCAAAAGCTGGGTTAGCACTTCAATAAACCTGGTTCCAGATGCTTAACCAGTGATTTCCAACAGTTCAGTCACTTGGCTTTCTTTAAAATTTCATCAGCAAACATACTGCTTGAATATATACATATTAAAATTTAATTCAAATGATTGTAATAGATTATAGTAAATTGAGTCCTTAGCATTTTAAAGAAGAAAAATGTATTTAATTTATATTAAGATAATTTGATTTAAATTTAAAAAATCATTTTTGTCTTAAAAAAATCATTAATTTTTATCCACCCTTGTTTGGACTAGGTGGACAAAATCTGTTCCACATTTGTTTTGTTTGGATCTGTAGCCCAAAGGAAAGTGCCCAGTGATCTTTATTTTCCACTGACTGAGGTTGGAACAACTTTTTTTCTCTTTTTGGGGGGGGCGGGGGCTAACTGAAAGGGGCCATGACTTCAACCCCTAGGACTTCCCAGCAGTCCTGTTACACTTCTGCTGTAGAAATTGCATGAGCTAATCAAAATGGTTAATTGTATGCTGTTTATTAGTGACTACAAAACAATGTTTTAAAAGGGCTATTTTGTTTCTAGTCTTACAGCAGCTCATACAATTGTTCAATTTACAAAGAAACTCCTTGATGAAAATATTTCTGTTTTGTCTGGAACCGAGATGTTGCCAGCCCTTAAAGGAGCTTTCATTTTTGTGTGTCGTCAGATGTATGGTACTTGTGAAGGTCTGCAGGTGCTGATTCCTTATGGTTTGCATAAATCCATTGCTGACGCTTGGAAGAAGGTAACTAGCTTATTGCAAACCTAAGTTTTTTTGTGAACAATAAAAATATATCTTTACTATTCTATTGCTCTTCAGATTAAATCCTTTATATTTAATTTACACTGTAGTAGGGACACTGGTATGCTTGAGAAGACCCTTTATTGTACAACATTGTGCTCTACAGATAATTCCCATTCCTGAGTCTATGCATCTGCATGCGGGCATGGCAGGATCCCATTTATAGCTTGGAAGTTTTATGCCTTTGGATTAAACTGGGAAATTTTATACCATACCTGATGAGGTACATAGGCTGCCCTCAGTTGTCCACACATTAATTTATTTTTCACAATTGTCCATGAAAGAGCTCCTCTGGGGTTGTGACTCGCCACTGGTCAGTGCTCATCGCATATCAAAGGAAGATTTCAAAGTATCACTTTCTATCGCCAACCTTTTCTAATCACCACTCTTGGTTCCTGGTCTTGTAAAATTAAAACAAACAAAAAAATGCTTTAATCATTATTTTAACATGAATTTTCCTATTTTTTGGGTGGGGATGGGGAAAGACACACAAAAAAGGAATTTCAAACTGTGAAATTATTGGTTAGACCCAACTGAGATTCCCTAACACTTGCACCTATGAGGCCTGCACAAGGAAGTTCTTATCTTGTGTACCTCAGCAAGCCTGTCCTAGAGAGCCCTTCTCCTGAAACTTGAAGAGCTGTGCAGCTTTTACTTTACAATATACTCCGTGAATAAACTATTTTGTGACCCTATTTCCAGGGTTGTCCCTCACCATTCTGGTGCCCTACACAGCACCCCAGCGGGGTGTGTGTGTGTGTGGGGGGGGGGGGCAGGAGCAGGCTTGGGGAGCAGGGGGGAAACTGCCCCCCAGCACAAGTCGGCGGAGCAGGGCGGGTTGGGGCCGGGTTGCTCCACTTCCTTCCGCCCGGTGAGTGCAGGGCAGGCCTGTCCCCGTACTCACGGGGCGGCGGGAAGTGGAGCGACCCAGCCCCAGCCCACTCCACTCTGATCCCCTGGCTCCTAGCCTTGGGGAGGGCAGGGGGCAACTGCCCCCCAGAACTCACTGGTGGCGCGGCTGGGGCTGGGTCGCTGCATTTCCCGCCGCTGGTGAGTGCAGGCCTGCCACCTGCTGCAGTCCTTAGAGGAGTGGGGGCGGGGCTGGGGCGGAGCAGGGGCAGGATGGGGCGGGGCGGGGGCTTTGGGGAAGGGGTGGAGCAGGAGGGGGGCGGGGGCGGGGCAGGGGCGGGGCGAGGCGGGGGGGGGGGGTGGGGGGGGGGGGGGGCGGGGGCAGAGCAGGGGCTGGAGCAGCACGCAGCTGCGTAGGGCACCAGGAAATTTGGTGCCCCAGGAAATTGCCCCAAATTTCCTGGTGCCCTATGCAACTGCGTACTTTGCGTATGGGTAGGGATGGCCCTGCCTATTCATTCACTAATATTTTAATTGCTCAGATAGGCTAGTCATGCACACATGAGCTACATATTCTTATCTAAGCATGTTGTGAGATTAGCATAGTCATTGTGAAAAGAAAAAAAACACATTTGTTGCACATTCTGAGAGTGCAGTTGTCAAACCATTCATAACTTAGTTAAATCAAAACAAATGTTTAAGAGGATGAAGATGATTTTCATGCCAAATTTCAATTTTCTTCCCTCAAGCACTTTGAGGCTAGAGTTGATTTAAAGTAAGTCATTGAAATATTTCAGTTGGGAAAGTGGTGGAATTTTTTCTTTTCCTTCATGCTCAAAAATGAATGGAATACTTTGGCTCAAATGTTCCCAAAATATTAACTTTAGAGACAGAAACCAGCCCAGCCCTGAAAAAAAAAAGGCTTTGAAGGTTAAATTTTCAGAAAGATATGAGACTGAAAACGTGGGGAAGAGAGGAGTTAGAATGGAACAGCTACGGCTTCCACTACATTACTGTATATACACCCTATGATTAATGTGAATATAATATATATGTGTGTACAATATTAATTAAGTAATAATTTAAAGTAATATAAACAGTCACAAATCCAAATTTAAGCATTCATTTACAGTAGTCTAAAGTCTGAATAAGAGATACTTTGAATCATAAGTTTATTTTGGATATTTCCTGCCCCTGTTGTGCACAGGTACTGCAGTGAAAGGCAAAGGTTAATTATTCAAAATAGTGAAAATAAAATAAGTTATTACCAGAATCTCAATTTTATAATGATAAATTAGATTTCTAATGGAACAAAGTTGATCTTGAAGCTAGTGCTGTCTGTTGCATTGAGAACGCTGGACTAGAATTCTGCCGACTTCAGTGAACTAGTTTACATGTATTGTGCTGTAATTTATGTAACTCAGCAAGTTGTCTATCCTTGTGATGAGGATGATATTCAGTCTAGCTTAAACAGTCTGTCTTACTTTATTTAATTTTTACGATATATGAAATCCTGCAAGCTTTTGATGGGCATTTTCAATTACCTGCTGTGATGAAGTGCTACAAGTGATATAGCTAGGTATACATACAACCTCTATGCACATTAAATTCTCTTGTCATAGCACAGAACATCATTTGGACAAAAAACCTAAATTTGATGTGCAGAAGATGAATATGAAGAATACTGAGAATGAAAAATCCATCAAACATATAACTGTGATATAGCTGCTCTTCCTGTATCCCACATCAGAGGCCAAGTTGAGATTACAGAGTGAATGTGCCCTATGTTCATCCCTAATGAACTGAATAAACTAGTAAAGCAAACTGAGTTTTTAGCTTCGCCATCTTGGGTATTTTTCTTTGTAGTTTTCCATTCCTGGTTTCTTAAAATTAGCTTCAACTTATAAAAAGCTCTACGAGTTCCAGACATTGGTAGTGTACCAAAGTGTTTGAACAGGTGATACATCTCTGAAATTAGGAGTTGCTGGTTTTAAAGGATAAATCTGATGATTTTTAAAAAGTTTCTAGGAGTATCAGAGGCAAGCACATTGCCATTTTGTAAGGTGTTGGAGTCATCACCCAGCAACAAACAGAAATTACTTATTCATAAAGTGAAAAGAGGTTACTCATTGTGTGGAGTAGTTTATTATTAAAAGGTATTTCCGAAGTAACAGTGGGTGCCATCCCTCAACCTAAGCACTTTTTCCCAAGGTTGGCTGTTTTTAGGGTTCTCTCTTTCAGGACCTGTCTGGCTCAAACCCTAGTTTCCCTGGCTAGGGCAATACTCCCTTTTCCCTTCTGTTTATGGTGCAATCTGATGTAGAGTACTTCCACAGTGTGTCAGCATTAAGAAACCTGTAGATCCTTGCAAGGTTCCGACAGTTGCTAAGAGTGGGGCAAAGGGAGAATCCCATTACTACCCTCCAAAATAAAAACTGTAAAAGTAGTTTGAAAATATAACCCAAATGTGTCAGCTTTTTCTCAATACTAGTATGTGGACTCGCCGTTGGGACACTTATAAATCTCAATTTTTTGTACTTACCATGATCAAAATATTTGTATCTCTTTCCCAACGAATGGACCTGCTCGCTCTAGTAACTCTTTTAGCACTGCACTTCTGAACATGAGCACTTTTCAGTAAGACAGGTAAGGAACAGTTTCACTCTGCAGGCAAAGCCACTAAAAAGTGCTCATGATCAAGTATATGGCAGTAGTAGAATTCTGGGGCAGATGCTGGCATGATTAAAAAGAAGGAGAGTTGACAGACCTAGAAAGAGCAATAGCATACTACACAATGATATTATGGATGTATTTGATCATGTGTATGTTACAATATAACTTCATTATGCTCATCGAAATTACACATCTGAAATTATATAATCTATAACATCCACTATCATTTGATTAAGTAGTGTAATATCCCCATCATCGCTTAAAACCTAAAAATCTGAAATCATTGATCTTAAATAAAGTATTTTCTTTAAAAAAAAAAAAAAATCAGATATCTTTTACATTAGAATCCCCATCAAAGTTGTTGACTTTTTCTGAACGTTGATAGGGTTGTTTGATATATTTAATTTTGTATCGATGATTCAGAAGGTACTTCTTACTTCAGATCAGATCAAAGCTAATATGCAGTAAAGAGACCAGTATCCTACAGTTAAGAACACTGATCTCCATAGATGCAAATGGAATAAAAAAGTTCCTTCTTTTTGTGTGTGAAATTTTGTAATTAAAAAGAAAAGTAAGTTATCTACAAAATTTCAGAGAGTGTGTAGTTTTATTTTAAGCAAGATTGGAAAAATATATTATTTGCATTTCTTTCTATACCATATAAGATATAGAAATAGAATTACAATTTTTCAGATTTTTTTCAGGATTTTTTCGCTCTGCTGATAAATAAGTGATATAGAAAATATTTACTTAACAACCTTAAAATTTTCACACCTCTGATAAATATTCCACAGTATTTTACAACTTGGCAGATAGGTGTTTATTAATGTAATTTAACTACTCTGATTCAGAATTCTGGCACAATATGCCAGGACATTCTGGATCTAAACGTTTATTTTGGAGCATATTAATTTGGTTTTATTTTGTATATTGTAATGTTAGGTGTTATTTCCTGACACTGAATTTCCTTACCTCACATAAAAGGGTACTGATAATATCTCAGTATAGTGACAGTCATCGTGTTTTGAATTATACAGTGCCATTGTCAAAGGAAAGCATAGGAGTTTTGGTGGTTTTTTTAGAAAACCAAAGAAAGCATTGAGAAAAAAAAAAAAGTACCAAAACATTTACAGGACTTTAAAAAAGGCCTGATTGGAGAGTCAAAGGTTATTTGGAGACCATGGCCTCATTTACATTTCTGGGTCAATTGTGACAAAAGAGCTATGGGAAAACATAATAAAAAGAAACAGACCTAACTGGAAAGGAGGGACTCTGAGTACAGGATATCATATCCAAATGATGTTGGATGGGTTGAAGTTGGAATGGTGATTGGAGTAGCACAGTTTGGGTGAATTACTCCTTTGCTGACTATGGTCAAGCAAGAACTGACGAGGAGGTTTCAAGAGTTAATGTTCAGTCATTAGTAGCTGGGGTAGTGACTTGTGCTTCCATCAGCTACCACTGACCAAAAAACCCCTCAAAAACTTGGGAAGTTCTGCTTGGCTCACACTAAGGAGCTGAGACTCCTACCAGAATGACATACTTAGAGAAGCAGAATTACAATGTAATTCCCCACTACAGAAGCACGTACTACAGTGAGCAGTTTTTGTTTTCTTTTTTTTTTTTTGCTACTGTCATTTAAAAAATAGTCTAGTAATTGAAAAACTATGAAAGAAAGGTCCATAATAAAACTATATTTTATTAACAGAAATTATAGTGTCACCTTGAAATATATTCCCTTTAAAACATATTCAGGATTTATTTCATCTAATCTATTTTATTTTATCTAACTGAGGCACTTATATGGCTCATTACTACAGTAGCTGAGTGCCTCAGAATCTTTAATGTCTTTATCCTCACAATACCCCTGTGAAGCAGGGAAGGACTATTTATCCCCATTTTACATATGGGAATCTGTGACACACAGAGACTAAGGGCCAGATTTGTAAAGGTATTTAGGTACCTAAAGTTGCAGATAGAATCCTAAATACCTTTTAAAATTTGTCCTTAAGTGCCTTGTGTACAGGCACATGGGAAGCCTGTTGACCGAGCAGGAAATTGAATTCAGATCTTCCAAATGCCAGGCTAATGCCCTAACCACTGGACCATCCTTCAATCCTTTTTGTTAGTGGTAGTCAGGACTTCTGAGAATGATGTAATAATAACTATATTTTTTATTTCATAGGCTAGTTCACTTTCAGAAAGGATTCCTACTCCTGTACCTGGGGCAGACTCCATTTCATCAGGAAATCAAGAGTCACAAAACATGTAAGTACTGCTGGGTCTATTCATATTTGGGTAAAATACACAAGTCCACTGCAGCCCAGATTTGTTGACCTTCAGGACAGTTATTAGGCCCATCTGTTTTCTTAGGCTTTTGCTAAGAGCAGGTTGGTAGCTACACGAAGGTACATATCTTGAGCTGAGGTTTCTCATTTTAGACCTTCCTAGCACAGGGCTCATTGAGTTATAAAATTCTTCCCAGCTCTGTGTAGTTATACTAAGTTCTATATAGATTTGGCTCATAATTTGCTGTCTATGTGGATCAAAATTTGTCTGGGAAAATATGAATTAAAAGATGTAAAACAAAGTAGCTGACAGTTTTTCTCTCATGGCTTTGATTGTGTTATTAGTTAAAAATCCTGTTTTTTAGAATACCATCAGTGCCTTCAAAACATCATATAGGGAGATTACCAGAATACTGACTGAAAGCCTGTCACACAGTGAGAGAAAAGACATCTCTCCTTTGATGTTAATGCAAACTTCATTTCCCCAGTAGATGTTTGTATGTTAAGTTTTACATGGTAAGAAATACATGAACTCTACATTGCATGTGAATGTGGGGTATAAAAATATGTAATTAAACATTATCGATAGACTTATGTGTGTCTTTCTTTTCCTTTTAATTGCTGTGGGATAGTTTCTAAAAGCTTCCATATGTAATTTGTATAGGAATTACAATATTTGTTGTTGGTTTATTTTTTTCCCTTTTGTGAAGTGACTGTAGTGACTTTAAATCAGTGTTGAGTAAGGGAACCCTATATGAAGTGCTCTGCTGGAGATGCCTATCAATAGTTAATTTCAGTGAATTATAAACTACAATCCCTTCCTAACTGCTGAATTTGACATTTTTTTATGGAATAAGAGACTTTGAGGAATTATTTTTAGATGAAGCTTTTGCTTCCCACTAAACAAGAAATAACTTCAAGATTCTAGGTACAATGGCTAAAGTCTAGGGTGGTGTTTGACCATTGTTGGAAGTGGGGTTTCTGCTTATATCTGTCACTGCTGCTGGTGGGAATCAAACATCCACCAAGGGAGTTCAGACCCAGAAATGAGAATCCAGTAAGGCAATGTGTTCAGCGAAGCCGGATTACAAGGTGAATCCCATGGTGATAGGATGGTGTCTAGTGAGAGATCGTTTCAATGCGGGGCTTCTCTTTCTTGGGTAGAGGACGGTTTGGGTGTGTTCAGACTTGCTTCTAATAGTCACCTTTTCCCCATCACCCTACCAATTCATTCATATATATATAATGAACATATATATAAATGTTTCTCACTGGACATGGAGTCACTAGTATCTGGACTCCAGTGGACACATTTTAATAGTTTGGAAAGAATGCACATATGCTTACCCAGATGTGGGTTATTGTATGTAACAGCACCTCATTTTCATAAACAGCGCCCCCATTTTCTAGCATTGTTTCATGTCTAGTATATAACACCTACAAAACAGTTTTAATAATATTTTGCAGTTATATAGTGCTTTTAACTGTAGCTCTCAATATGCTTTACAGTGGTGAGAAAGCAATCGTATTCCCACTTTACAGATGGGGAAATTGAGACACTGAGAGGTGACTTACCCAAAGTCACACAGTAAGTCAGCAGTAGATTTGAGAATTAGAGCCCAAGTCTTCTGGCTCTTGGTCATGTTATCTATCCACTAGACCATCCTATCTCACCATGTGAGATCTTTTCTGTGATCTCGAATTTCGATGCAGTATTTGTATACCGTACAGCTGTTCTGTACATAGTTTAACCCCCAAGAAGTAGTTTAACTTGCTACCATACACATAGGTCCAGTGAAAGGTAGATTTTTTTTAACCTGAAAAGTTTATATTTTCTCTTGCTTTTCACTACTTTTATTTTTAAATCTTTTTTTATTCATTTTATTTTTCTATCATTTTCAGTATGGTATGGGAAGAGACTTTATTAGATGATTTATTAAACTTTGCTGCTACTCCAAAAGGTCTTCTTCTGCTTCAGAATACAGGAGCCCTCAATGAATGTGTAACCTTTATGTTCAGCAGATTCTCAAAAAAACTCCAGGTAGGCATGTCAGAGTCTAGTACAATCACTTATTTAATTAAGGTAATTAGAAGGGAAAACCATAAACCATTGTTTATCTGTTATCTTATTGGAAGAGTTGAGTTAAAATGTAATCTGACATTCTAAATGTATGGTACATTGATTTTATTTCAGTTGTTACTCTGCAAAATGTCAATAATAATGTCATATTATCACTGTTACTTTTTAGCTCAATGTTAAGCAAAAGGATACTTTTTACGCGACATTTAATTTTGGGACCTAATCCTTAGTCAGACCAGTGCTCAGTGATGTATGTACATTGAAATATAGGTACAGTGGTTGCCAGTAAAATGGCAAGATCTAACATGCCAGACATCAAATTACACAGGGAATTATGCATTCAATTATGGAGGCAAAATATGTTATCACATGGATTTTTAAAAGGTTTTGTGGCCCCTAGTCTCAATCGGTGGGTGCAAAGGATTTGGAAGGTTATAGTCTTAAAAAGTTGTTATTCTGTGTGCTGAAGTTGCACATGCTTTATATTATGCTATTTATACTTTGAAATAGCAAAGGGAGAGATTCCTTTACTGGCTAAACAAACATGCTTGTGTTGTAATCTGACCCTGATTGGTCTAGATACATTTGTTTACAGAAATTAAAGTTCTGCAGGGAACAAGTCAAAATACATAAGAGAACATTTGAGAATATGAGTGTCTTGGTTGTATTCTCCAAACTTCTTTTATCTCTATTATGAATAGGTGAGTGGATGTGAAAGGTTTGGTTATGGAGTGATGGTTACACAAATGGCAGCGACATCTCCAGGTGCAGTAGCTCTGCAGCGTTCAGGTAATTTTAAGGGTGAACTTTATCATAGGCACTAACACATTGTAATATCATGAATTAAAATAATATAATTCTAAACAAAATAAAGTCAGATGTGATTAAGATAGATATGCAATACTAGTAATGACTAGTTTGGAGCCTGCTGATTTTTTGGTGGAAAATTATTCTTTTAAATGTTTTTTTCTTAAGTACAGAAATGCCTTATGCATTAAGTTTTTGCAGATGGAAGAATATGATCTTGTATATTCTGTGAAACAAAACTAAGATAGCATAGTAAAAGAATGTTCCTCTTTTTATTTTTATTTCATTTGTTTTGATTTCAAAGAAATGTATCTATCCTTTCACCTAAATGCTGTGCCAGAAAGCTTCTCCAAGTTAAACCAGGGACTGGCACCACAGCTCAAATATCCTGCACCTAAACCATGTAGTGTTTCAAAGATTAAAACTGATAACTTGAATTGCAACCAGAGTAGATTATGGAACTGTCTGGCAACTGTTCTGTTTGTTCATCCAGAAGAGTTGGGGAAGTAATTAAGATGGCAAGAGTATGACAGGCAAACTCCACCAATGAATGAAGCTGAAATAATCTCTACCAGTTCTTCAGTTTGTCCCTAAACCACAAGCTTTATTTCAGTCTGTTCTTAGTTCAGTTTCAGCCAGCTAGTCCTCATACTGAAGACACAACAGCTCCAATTTTCTCATTAATCTTTTTAAATGATCTGTATACATATTTCAGTTCCTGCACAACAGAATGGACCCCTATGGTATGTTACATAAGAGAAACCTTGTGGCTGATTTTGAAAAAAAAAAAAAAAAAGTCTGCTACTACTTTCTGGAGTCTCTCAGGAAATGAGGAACAGATTAACTTGAGTGACTCCTTCTGTCCTACTATGGTCCGCAGCCAGGACACATCCTATGGTTAATGATATTGAAGGCAGGTGAAATACCTGAAAGAATCAGCCCAGATCTTCACCCCTACTAGAAGGCATTTATACAAACATGACTGAGGTTATAAATATCAGCCTATCATTTACAGTAGACAGTACTCAGAAGATATGTATTTCTACTTATCTTTCCCTTAATTTTCATTTGAAGATATATATTGATAAGATTTCTTAACATATTTTACAATCAGCTAGCAATATACATTAGCAGGACTAGCCCTAGGCCATATGACGTCGCAGGTGAGGAGCATCTTTGGCGTCCCCCCTCCATTTTTTAAACTTTTGAATACTTTATTTTTTATTGCAGTTGTAGCCTATTTCACGACTTTGATGCACAATTTGCATGCATGATTTATCCCTGGCATATAAGATGATAAATTTGCACACTGTAAATCTGTATTTATTCATGCCATATATAAACAAATAAAAAATAAATTGGTTTCCTCTAAGCTTATAGAAACTTTAATATTAAGAATAACTGAAATGTACTAACATCAAGAAATTGAATTGTGCATCAACACTGGGTGGACCAGTATTAAATAGTGTTATGGTAGGTGACAACCTTAGAATGTTAACCCTAGTCCTTTAGTTCAAAAGGTCACTTTTCTCGCCTTTGCCCTGGCGCACTGAAGCACAGGGTCAGAGAGTTCCAAAGATTGGCCAATGGCATTTTCAACCAATAAAATAACAAGTGATGTCAGTCTCTTGTCGACCATCATCGGTCAAAGATATGTTTTAATGAGTCTGAGCATTGAAAAGCTGCACTCACCACTTGCAACTGTGACCGGCAGCATGAGCAGAATCCCCAAAGCTATCCACACATTTAGGAAACGTGTCCTTGAGCTGTGCATCATGAATGAATTAGAGAACTTGGAATGGAGAGGGCTTCCGGTGTTGCCAAATGTCACAGATGTTGTCCAATTCAACATAGAGATCTTTATCAATGATGTCTGAACATTCCCCATGTGTCAGCATCTGGTGAAGGTCCATACAGTTTTCCTGTCCGCCAGCAGCTTATTAAGGTCAGACAAAAATCCCCAGGTCTTTTAGTGGTGCTTTATTCGTCCAAACCATTCTTTGATGGACACTGTAGCAGTGTCAACGAGTGAGCAAAAAAGCTCCCTCTTGAATTTTTCTTCTGAGCTTCCCATCACCTAATCCCTACCCTCGTAACCAAACTGTCTCTTCTTCTGATCAATATGATTATCCTTGAATACAGGCTGAACTCCTACATTTTCTGCCATTTCTTTGGTAGCAGTGATGGCATCTTCAAATCCGTTGTCTCTGTAGTCCACAACGAAATCAAGGCAACTTCTCATGAAAGTAGTAGCTGTCATGATGTCCATCAACTGAGTTTCTAATGCCTTGCTTCCAATGTTTACTTGAAACAGGATATTATGCCAAACCACAATTGAGACCAGAAATTTGAAGTCAGTGATCTGGTTTGCCAGGCTTTGCATCTTGTGTCGGACTCTGGCCACAGCTTTACTTAACTGCACCAGTTCCATCAGAGCATCATAAACCTCAGTCATTTGGTACCTCACTGTCAATATGGCTCTCCCAGTGAGTGTCACTTACTGACTTCCCAGTCAGATTTGTAACATTATCCGTAAGGATCTACTACCTGATAGTTAATGCTGAAAACAAGATGTATATCCTTTGCAGTACTCCGAAGAGATATTGAATTTAACGAAGATGATGCTGCATCTGACTCAGTCAGGTTGAGGGAATGGCAGCCACAAGGCATGAAGAAAGCTCTTGGATTCAACATAAGGATCTTTGCCTGGATGCCACTGTTTCTTCCCTTCATGTTTACGCTGTTGTCGTAGCCTTGGCTGCGGCAGTCCTGAAGCTTTATTCTTGTTCAAAATGTTCATAAACAGTTCTGTTAGGCCTTTTCCAGTAGAGTCGTCCACAGACCAGAAACAGATAAAACGTTCCTTTTCTTGTATACAGCCATCCTTGTTAACAAATCTTACTGTAAATGACATCTTTTTACTCTGACTAATGTCGGGAGTGCAGTTCATTATTACTGCGTAGTACTTTGCTTTGCCAAGCCGCATCAATATGTTATCAAGCACCTGCCTTACCATAAAGTCAATCAATCAGTTTTGAATTGTTTTGCTGCAGTAATGGTCCACATCTTCTTTACAAACTACTTGACATTGGTGTTCACGCATGACATCCTCATACTTCTCCAGGAGTTCTACCAAACTGAGAAAATTACCATTGTGTTCAATGAACAACTTTTCTGACTTTGAGAAGTGTTGCTTCTGTCATTTACTGGAAACATCATACCCTCATTCGATATTCTGTGATCAATATCAGCAGATTTTAGGATTGCTGGTCATAAAGCAGGATCTGATGTATTGATTTATGATGTGTAGTTTTTCTCACTTCTGTTTCTGTCATCATGCAAGGCTGATTCTACTTTATCGTTCCTCTCCTTTTCATGTAAAACAGATTTTTCTCTATCATCACTCTCCTTTATGTTGCCAGGAAAACTGGACGATTCTCCATCACTTTCCTCTCATTTCCATTCCTTATCTTCAAGTAAATCTGCTAATTCCTTACTAATAGGACTTCCATAATTTACGCTTCACTTCTCAATTTCTTCTGCACTGGGATGATTGCTACTGCCTAAAGCCCAGTCTGTGGTGTTCTATTTCAGATATTTTCCTATAAAATTTGTCCATTGCTGCAAACTAGATTGCAATTGAGCTTTTAACTTCCTATAATGAGCTCCTGAAGGCTTCTTCAGGGGCATCTTTTATTTTCTATGGGGGGAAAATGGTCAGTATTAGGGAGAGCAAAAGTCTGTGTTCTGCAGTCTTAGAAAGTAATCAAACTTTACATGGTAAGCATGGCAAAAGAAATAACAATGTTTCTTTTATATTGTTGCATAGATAGGGGTTCGATAGATATATCCTTTATTAGTCGCTACTTACACTCTTCAAGTCTTAAAACACAAGTACACTTTCACAATTGCACAATAAAACAAGGTTTGCAGTGTCGCAACTGGGCTCTCACTTCATTCTTATATCTCATTGACTGATTGGCAATGCCCTGTCCATTATATACCTGCAAGGGCATGGCTGACAACATTCTAGGAGGGTCAAGGAAAATGTAGTTCTCAGAAAGTCTGGAAGGTTCCACGAGATTCTACAAAGGTCCAAAACATTCTAGGTAGTTAGTGAAAAATTAATCCACAAGCTGAATACCTGAAACATTTTACTTCAAACTTTCTATTTTCCCTTTTGTTGCTAACAACAAAAACAGCACCCCAAGCACGGTGCCCCCAAAGCCCGGCACCCCAGGCGGTTGCCTGGATAGCCTGCCCCTAAATCTGACCCTGTATATTACAGTAGACTGGCACAGGCAGCTGTGCAAAACTACTCTCTCTTTAGGTAAATCTAGTTTACTTTATTGTGCAAGTGAGTTGTTTCCAGACAAGTTGTCTTAAATCCTGTGTCTTTAGAATCAATGATATTGTATAATATATGGTTCCCAAATTGTGGTCTATAAGAGCTAGTTTATGACAAAATACTGGGTCTTCTTTGTTTCCAGCTACTTAATCGCTTAAAATCAAACAAACAAAAATGGAAAAATATATTACCTACAGTAATATTACTTTTCCTTGTAAAGAGTTGCTGTAGTTGTCCTAATGATGCTATTTGATCATCAGTGGGAAGGATGGTGGTGTACCTACCATATTATGGATAGAAAAGGAGAGTAGTCCCTGAGGCAATCTCTTTTTAAGATTTGGTCCACATTGTATAGAGTTTTGAGTTTTATTTTACTTGTTTTAGTAAGCATTTTTGTGACTAAATCAAACATTTAATTTTAGGGTTTATAAAAGCACTTATAACTGAATTATGGGCTGTTCTGGAGTGTGGAAGAGATGATCTTAGAGTAACTCACCCCAGTTCTACTCCAGTAGATCCTATTGACCGAAGCTGTCAGAAGGTGAGAAATTATCTTATTTTGTGCAATTTGTTACTACTGTGTATAAATACACAGGTGCTTTCATTAATATCCTAAATGAGACATTTCATCAGCATTGCTTCTAATTTAGCCACTTAAGGCAAAATTGGTGTAATACAACAAGCAAAACAATGACTGAATGAAATAGGTTCCTGTGTTATATGGAGGGTCACAATTGCAAGGGTCACTTAAAGTCAATTTAAAACGATATCATAAAAAGAGTGATATAGAGGATCATCTTGACCAAATGAGTTCTTTATGAGCAGTGTTGTAGAACAGCATATAAATGTATACCTAAATTGGCTAATATTTTAGATGGAATATGATTTGATTTTACATTTGATTTTCAGTTAGTTTGTTTTTCATGAGGTTACATTCTTTCAAGTGGAAAGTTCTCTTTCTAATAACGGTTACTTTGTTTTAGAATGAGTTACAACTACTAGTTCAAGATGATCTAAACCACCAAATTTTACAAGTATGTGATGATATAAGTAGTATAGCATTCGAAAATCATTCAACATTTATTGCCAGAATTGTACTTCATTCAGACCCATAGAAGAATTCTCAACTTTCACTGGGCCATTCGCTTCTGCAATGTGACAGCCCATCAGTTCACACAGTTCTCACAAGGTGCATGGGCACTACCTTTAGGCTAGCATACATGTGTCTCTCATGAGGATATGAGTAATGTTCCACATTTGTTTTGTTGGGCAGCTCTGCCTGTTTAAACTTCACACTGCAGAGCAGGGTGAGGCTGAGACCTGGGCCTAACTTCTTTACATTGTTTTAATTAACTGCCAATTAAATGCTATCAAATGTTTGGTTATATAAATACAAAAGTTCACAGGAGCAACTTTTTTTTTTTTTTAAGTCTTTTCTATCGCTGGTAAATTTGCTATCCTATCCTGCTATTTATGAACTGATAGGTGATCAGGAGATACCAAATAAACCAGAATATTCTCTCCGTGAAGTTCCTACAAATGTTATTGTAAGTAATTTTTTCTTTGATTTTTTTTCAAAATATTACAATGTAGTTAGACACTTTGCCTGAGCAAGTATTATGTTAATAATTAAAGACATGCTCTATTTTCTGCTCAATGATATATTTTAAAATGTTTTTGCATTTTTTATTGTGTGCAGCATGAGGGCAGCATATGCACATAGTATATTGGTTAATATAAAATCTTTACATAATTTGAAGGTCTTACTTTTCTTCCTCACTTGTATTATAAATCTGTTCCCAGGGATAATAATGATATATATGAACGTCTCTAATTTTGTGTGTGCGTGCGCATGTGCATATGTATGGATATATTTGTATCATACATTATTATGTGTGTGTGTATGTGTATGTATGTATATATTAAGTGGAGGGAGGAGGGACTATATATGTAGTCTTATATCACACACATTGTAGTGACAAATATTTAACGTTTTAACAAAAATATTAATTAAAAATGGGTTAGAGTTGCTGAAGTGCATAAACTACCAACACAACATAAAAAGTCAGGATTTACCTAGTAACTTCCTTACCCAGTCCTATGTATGTATGCTAATGATTGCTCATTCTCCACATTATTTTATCCACATTCCCTGCCCTCCTCTTCTGCACGTCATGTGTAAACTTCAACTCTAACCACACAAAGTGGTTACAATTGGATGTTTGTCAATTGCTCAAACTGTTGACTATTGTATTAAAATATTTGATTCGTTTTTATGGTGTAGATTTTTAGTTATGCATGAGAGTCTTGGATGACTATTAGTGCAGGGAATATTTTTAAAAGTGGAAATAGTTTGTAAAATTGTCTGTCATGTTTGGAAGTTTCTATTTTGAAATCTTGTAACACTATTTACGTGATTAATGAGGCAGTATGGTGCTATTTTCTGTTTTCAGTAGTTATTTGTGTTCAGAGTCCAAATTGCATGTTTTGTGAGGCATAGGAGGGGAGTAGTCATTTGTTGAGGGTAGTGTATGCAAGTGATGTAATATGAAGAAAGCAAAATCATATTTGAAGGTTCTATGGGTTGCGTGAGACTTAAGTAGTGATTTCATAGCTTTATGAATCTGGGTTGGTGGAATATACTCTGGAACACCTCTAACTGATTTTTTTAATAAAGCTTTTTGTTTGAGGAATTTCTTAGGTTTGTAAAGAAGTGTTATTTCAGTGTTGATAGTTGCTCACATGGATAGTAGTAAAAGTTCTTATATATTCTCCAAATTATGCTCTCTCCACCTTCAGAGCCCTGGTGTTTGCACAAGCCCCTCCAAAGCCCAGAATCTTCTCTTGGCCCCTGTACACCTGCGCTTCTTCTCTGGGTTACTCTCCAGATCTCCATTCCCTCATAACCCCCATCCGTGGCTCAGATGTCCCTGGGTCACTCTTTAGAACCCCGGTGTCTGCAGTGTTCCACCCCTCATTCTTGGCTCCTTGCTAAAACATACTATGGCAGAAGAGGCTGCAGTTGTCAGACAAACATCCCTCAGCATCTCTTTCTTTGTGCACACAAATAGCCAATTTGCATTAAGTCCTTTATAAATTATTTACATTACTGAGTTCATGGCCAACCAACTGACTGAAAAGGCAGCAGCAATCTTGGGGTTAAAGGAAATTATATTCAAAAGAATCTTTGTATACACAAATGATCCAATAAAATCGAATTTCCAGTGATTTAGAATAAATGTTAAATTGTTTAGTTGCATTGCAGTGTAAAGTAGCAGTTTCACTTACAGTGAAGTTGTTCTGTGGGGGAGGGAAATAATTTGGTGTCAGAGGATTCCACTATCTTTACATAAGAATGCATTTTAAATAAAGGATATTCTGCTTTATAATAATAATAATAATAATAATTAATGGAGATATCCCATCTCCTAGAACTGGAAGGGACCTTGAAAGGTCATCGAGTCCAGCCCCCTGCCTTCACTAGCAGGGCCAAGTACTGATTTTGCCCCAGATCCCCAAGTGGCCCCCTAAAGGATTGAACTCACAACCCTGAGAGTTTAGCAGGCCAATGCTCAAACCACTGAGCTATCCCTCCCCCCAATGTTTGACCAATGTTATTTTACTGGTAGTGGTAACTTTGTTTTATAAAAAATGAAGTACAAGTTGTTATGGATTTTATGAAATTAAGTTCATAATTTTTCTCTCTGATGTGGTCTTGAAATGACTCATTGATCTAAAGAGTCAGACAATAATTCTCCCTGCTGTTTCTGAGGCCATGCTTCTCAAACAGAATTTAATAAATAAATAAAAATGGATTTCATTTGATGCAAACAAAGCCCCTAAGGATTTTGTTGGTTTTAGTTCTTTTGAGTTTACCACACCAATCTGAGTCGAAGAGAATGTCGTCAGTGGAATTTTTGTGCATTTTGTGCATTCTTTAAAATGAATTACTTTGGAAGCAATATATGAGACAAACTAGAGAGAGGGATAATACAATCTGAACTTTAGATAAAACAGTGAGCAATCTACTGGTCATTTACAGTTTTGTCAAGCACTGTAGGATAAAAATAAAATTGCCCATATAAAACACACTCTTACTTCACATCATAAACAAACTGATGATTTGACAGGGTTTGCAAAAAACAAAAAACAAACAAAAATAACCCACAGAACTTTTCTATTGGGCAAGTTATTCCATAATTGTCCACTATCAGGTTTCCTGAACCTTTCTTTGAAGCATCTGGTACTCACCATAGTTAGAGATAGAATACTGGACTAGATGGACCGTTGTCTAGTCCAGGGGTCGGCAACGTTTGGCACGCAGCTCGCCAGGGTAAGCACCCTAGCGGGCCGGGCCAGTTTATTTACCTGCTGACGTGGCAGGTTTGGCCGATCGCGGCCCCCACTGGCCGCGGTTCGCCGTCCCAGGCCGATGGGGGCGGCGGGAAGCCGCGGCCAGCACATCCCTCGCCCGCGCCGCTTCCCGCCACCCCCATTGGCCCGGGACGGCGAACCGCGGCCAGTGGGAGCCGCGATCGGCCGAACGTGCCGCGTCAGCAGGTAAATAAACTGGCCCGGCCCGCTAGGGTGCTTACCCTGGCGAGCTGCGTGCCAAACGTTGCCGACCCCTGGTCTAGTCTGAGTTGGTACTTGTATTTCTATGCACAAAATTATTTAATACCTGAAATTTTGATTAAATTAGCTTGAAATGGAAAGAACTACATATTTCAAAAACACTAAACATACATTTTACCATTTTACTCCAATATTAACATTCAATAGTAATTTAAAATGCTTAATATTTCAGTGCCTTGATATGTATTTAACTGAGTTATGTGTTTGTTTTATTTTTATATATATATATGCCTTGATTCCGCACCATTGACTTTAATGGAAGTAAGAACATTAAGCACGAATACTTAAAAAAAAAAATGGTAACATTTAGAAAAAATAATGCTGTATTTTTACACATCAATCAACCTTAAGTGTAAGAAATGTAAGAAGATGCATGATAATTTTATAATAATGCCTTCTTTTTTCAGGATGTAATTGACAGACTTATAATTTTGAATTCAGAAGCTAAAATTCACTCCTTATTCAATTATGAACAATCACACATCTTTGGTCTGAGGTAAGATCCACTCTCTGTTCAAAATGAGAATACAGTACAGCAAGTTTCTGCTGGTTTCCAATAAACCCATATTATTGCTTCTTATTGTGCATGAAAGTGAAATTAAGTTAGGTTTATTTTTTTATTTTTATTTTTTAACATGGAAAGGTTGAATGAAAAATGCATTATACAGAATTAGGAAACCAGCAAAGCCAATCTTTATTTAATATTCCTGTACCCGATGCAATAAAATCAGTTGCACAAGGTTATTTAGCATGGATGGTTGAAAAGCAAATTTAGTACATCCATCATGACACGTGAAACAAACTTCCTGCTAAAATACTGAAATAAATTGAGGATTTTACATTACCATGTGCATCTTTATATATTTAATTTATCTACAATGAATGCATTTCAGAAGTTCATTCTGTTTTAATTATATTACCAAGTCCAGCAATATTCCCTGTGCTTAAAATGGGAGGTACCACTAGAACCAGTAATATGTCTAGAACTTGAATGAACATTTTAAATGTGTCTACTGAATATGATGCTCATCAATATAGTGTCTGTGTGGTTTCCAAGTATTTAAAAATAGAAATAACAATCTATCATTTTCCTTCTTTCTTCTTTCCTAGCCTGAAGGATAAATAGTTTGCTTAGGGTATCTCTATTAAGATGTGATCCATACTGTGAAAAAAAGTTTGATAATGTCTGATTGGACAAAATAATGGTCCCAATGGTTTATAAAGTCCAAAGTTAGTTTTCTATAGCCTCACTTATACCAAAATATCAGAGTAAATTAATCTGTACTGTACATGCAAATAATAGTGAACTATGTACTGTAGATTACATCAAATAATCCAGGTAACATTTTTCATCTGGCAGGACAGGGTATGAGATGTACAGTGACAAAGTTTTGAGATATGAGAAGTACAGTTTTGTACTATGAAACTGGGAGTCAGAGATGGTTTCATAAAATAATATAGGACTATAGGAGTCTTAAGTTAGGTAGAGGTGATGAGTCCGCAGATAGCATTTGAAAAACTAGTAGTTACTTAGACACAACTGTGAAATCCTAGCACCATTGAAGTCAACGGCAAAACTCCCTTTGATTTCAGTAGAGCCAGGATTTCACTCCCAGTTGGGCAGGCTGTTCTGAAAAGGAACTATGAGTTTTGTCTGTGTGTTTATATTGTGGTTTTCATTAAGGCCCTGTCTACACTGCAAAAAAAATAATAATAAATGGGGTGCTCATTGAACCATAAAATCATGAACTCCAATGCATGTTTTATACACAGAGATAAAACTTTCAGCTAATCTCTTTGAGTGGGTTCACAGCTGACTCCCTGATTCCTTTTAGATTGACAAAATTAAACAAGTACACATATTCCAACCTGATTGTGAATGCTTTAAAAAAATGTGTTTAACAAGCTTGTACCCGGTGTACATGGGTACCACAACCATGACACTTGAAACCATTTTACAAACACCTATTTAAATAGATTAGAGGGGTCTTAACATTTACTGAAGAACCTGAAGCATAGAAGGAAATTTTGCACTGGATTATGAAAAGGACAGAAAGCAAGTGAAAGCTTCTGAGAATAGGGACGTTGTTCTGTTTCTCAATTCATGTAAAGAGACAAATTGTCTTATTTTTAGGCTTAGCAGAACACTTATTTTTTATAATTTTGACAGATATCAGTATTTAGTTTTAACCATTTTTTCTATATTTATCGATTTTAAATTTTCACAGTTGTGAAAAATTATGGGTGTTAAGCATCTTTTTTTTTTGGTTAATTGCATTTTTCTCAGTTCCTGGAAATTATGGGTGGTCAGACAATGGGAGGGGGGGGGGTCAGACATTAATTATTTAATAACAGTAGACACTGATATTCAAAAAGTTATTTTTAGAACCATTAAACCAAAAAATTGTCAACATCACATGTCAAAATGTACAAAGTAAATAGCCTTAAATCAAACTCTAATTAATTCTCAAGCAGCAATTTTTCTTGCTTTGCCAATCTGTAAATTTCAGTCATTACTGATGGAAATATGTTTTCATTGGTTTATGTGTATATAGTGAAATCAACATTTATCATAATTTACTGATAAACGTTTAATTCTTCCAAGCCTATGCATTTTTATTTCTCCACCAGTAATGATGCTGAACTCCTTTGTAAAGTTCTTTGAGACCTACTGATGAAAAGCTCTATATAAACTAGATAGTATTATTATTATTGTTGTTGCTACTATTATTTTAGGGGGGAAAATAAGTAATGTGCTATTCACAATATGAAAATGTCCTGCATATCAAAGTAGGTAATGTTTTAACATAATATTAAATGGCTGCTACACTAGGAAATCAAAGAAAAGATTCTTTAACTACTGAACCATAATTTTCTGTGGGGCCACCTAAGCTCCTTTTATAACCTCAGTGATGCCTTGGATCTACCATTTCACAGCCTCCCACGAACGTCCCCACTTCTCCTGTCTTCCCTCAAAGGCCCCATTTATTGTCAACTTTCCTTCCGTTAGAAGAAGGGAAGATGCAACTCACTCTAGAGCCTTTCAACACTGCTCGTTACATGTATTAGAATGCCAAAGTGAGGCACTAAGTCCTCTGATCTCTAACAAACTCTGAACCCCATATAAGGGTATACAATGTCAGAAGTACAAGCCATGATCTCTATTTTAAGCAACCTGTCACCTTCTTTTCAAATATATTTAGCCATAGCAGTAAGCTTGGCATTTAGTTTCCATTAAATAGGTTTCCAAGAAAAATTAGCAAAGTCTACGTCTACCTTCTTTGTGACATCTCAGGTGGCTTAAATATGCTTTTTTAAGCTGTCAGTTTGATTAAAGAGAAAACTGTATATATTATTGTCAACAATATCTACAATATTTATGAAAAGATTAATTTGAACGGTGTTTTGACAAGTGTTTTACCACAATAAAACACTTCATAACAAATATCATTATGATTTATTACGTAGCTTTCTTCTGTATTTATGGGCTTAAGTGGATGGCTTAGGTGAGACCAAAAGCACCACAAATCAGAGACAGTGCACTATTTCTTACCCAAATATATATTTAAAGCAATATATTAATATTTTGGAAACTATATTTTCAAAACTGATTAAACTTGTCCCTTTACTGTACTGATGGTCACTGAAGTTTTAATACTTTTAAAAATCAGACCACAAAATGCATTCCTCATAAGGAAGTGTACAGGATAGTGGGCTAAAGCTGAGAAAAAATGAAAATATTCTTAGTATCCTCTAGTTTTATGTTGCATTTTTATAACATCAGTAACACGTTTCAGCTGAATACTGTCTATTCTTGTGTGTTTTTGAAGCATCCAGCTTCATGTTACATTTCCCTTTTGTACCTTAAGTTTGAAAATTGTTATTAAATAGCCTGAATGTTTTCTTATTGCTTTTCATGAGTTTTGGAAGGTGCACACATACTATTTCATGGGTAATAGTTTTAGAATTCGTAAATTCAAAACTTTTATTCTGAGTAATTCAGTTCCTTATATAAGAATCTGTACTATTACATACTCATTCCAAGTTCTCACACCTCTGAACTCCATGGAGTCAAACTTGAAAGATATATATTTCACTAGAATCCATTTGAGATTAATTTTGATCTACTTTCCTAAAATTGCTGAGTACAAAGATGTCTGTCTTTTTCAAAAGGAACATTGTCTTGTATAGTCAGCATGCTCCCCTACCTAATTCCTTCACTGATATCAAATTTGCTAGTATATGAAGCACCTGTAATGTCAAGCACTGAATTGTGGCATCATTGAACAAATCTGGTAGGAGCAGCAGGTTAGTTATAATGGATAAAGGATCTGTGTAGACACACACATCTAGTTAAATTGACAATGAAGAGAAATCAAATATTGTAAAATTCAGTAGCAGCTGAAGATTAAGAACAATCTATCACAGCATGTTTTTGGTGATTTTTTTTTTAAATCAGTGTAGTAGACTTAACAAACTTATATAAAAAGGCTCTAAAGTCTTTCTCTCTTTCAATATCAAGAGAACAGGACAAGATGTGACCAAGAGAATATGCTAAAGTAGCTGTCATCATGTGTTCTGTACTGCTGTTGGTTGGTGGGATTGTCATTTGAAGGCCTGTATGCATCTCACTCTTTGAAAGCAATGATGGTCAATTTAGTTTTAACTCATGGTTAATACACAGAATTCTTACAAGTCTTCTGCCTAGAGCACAGAAATTCTAAATTTGCTTTCTTGCATTTCAAACACAAGTTTTGGGTTAAAAACTCTAGTCTCCCTCAGTCCTATGCTGTGCTTGTCTAACTTCAAATTTCATTGTACCTCCTAAACTTAATCTTCGTTTTTAATATAATTGTTATAGATCATTTCCCATAATAGCGAGCTTTTTCAACTGAAAGATATACAGATATCGAATAAATTTTTTAAGCTTTTATGTTATATTTTCTGGTGTTACTGTTTTCTTTTGAGTAAGCATGACCATTGTTCCTGAGTTGAGGGTCAGATCTCCTCGTTGGTTGTGATGAAGATAGATTAAAGATGACACTGTGCGGACCCCACTATCTGTTCAGCACTATAGAAATCAGGGTAGAGAAAATGCTTGGTAGAAATGCATAGTAGAAATCACAGTAAAGAAAATAAGACATGACTTTGAGCTGCCAGTATCTCAAAATCCATAAAAAAGGGCCCCAATGTAGGTGACCGACAATTACAGGCCAGTAAGCCTGACTTCAGTACTGGGCAAACTGGTTGAAACTATAGTAAATAACAGAATTTTCATACACATAGATGAACATGGGGAAGAGTCAACATGGTTTTTGTAAAGGGAAATCATGCCTCACCAATCTATTAGTTGAGAGGGTCAACAAGGATGTGGACAAGGGGGGGATCCAGTGGATATAGTGTACTTAAATGTTCAGAAAGCCTTTGACAAAGTCCCTCACCAAAGGCTCTTAAGCAAAGTAAGCTGTCATGGGATAAGAGAGAAAGTCCTCTCAT